TGGAGCTCACCATTCAGCGGCCAAGAGAGCAGTTAGCAGACATCCTCTGTCTGCAGAGTCATCAGGATCCACCTCAGTTCTTTCAGGGCAGCCACAAGCCCATGACTGAGCACAATGGGGCATGTGGCATTTCTGCCCGGTTGGAGACTTCTTTGCCAAACCATCTTTGCTCTGGAGCTCCCCAGTTGGCTGTCATTTGTTTGGGCAGATCCGCCTCACGGGCTGAGGCTCTCCCTGCCCACCCTTCCCCTCCCCTTCCTTTTCGCAGTTGTCTGACCTGCACTGCAGCCTGGGGATCCCTCCGGTCCAGATAAGATCCTCCCTTGCACATTTTTCACAAGAATTTCCCCTCCTCCCTATAAACTGCTTGCACCCCTACCTCTGTCTCAGTCCCCAGTCCCCAGAGGATCCAACTGACACAGATGGTCCCAACAATTGGTGCCACAAAGCAAGTGGTAAGTAAGGTTTGGGAACAGATCACTGTCTGCCTGACTGGTCATGAGAATGCCATCCTGAGTGGAGCATGAGGCACAAATCATCCCTCGCGCAAGGTGGCGACCCAAGTGCCAAAATTTGCAGTAATTAATTCGGACATTTGAAATGCTCAGGGAGCATGTCATATGAGGACAATGGAATTTTCTGCTTGTTATGGAGTCACATGGCTGCCCCATGGTGGGTGAAGAAAAGCTGAGGGCAGTTAACGATTACATGACATTTGAGGGTGGGGACCCTATTTCTTAAAATAGGAGAACAGAAAAAAACCCAAGACCAAACTCAGAATGTAATAGTTAAAAACCTTCAAAGAGTCAAAAATCTTTATGGGTATCCACCCAGATATTCCTATCCCAAGTGTCAGGGGCCCAGGTTTTCCCAAACATCCTGAACTCCTCCTCTGGTAGAGATAGTACATCAAAAACAAAATCGCAGGGCACCTGGATGGCTCAGGTGGTTGAGCATCCAACTCTTGATTTTGGCTCAGGGTCATGGGACAGAGCCCCACCTCAGGCTCTGCGCTTAGTTTGGAATCTGTCCCTCTCCCTCCACCCACTTGCACTCTCTCTGTCTCTCTCAAATAAATAAATAAATAAATAAATAAATAAATAAATAAATAAAATCTTTAAAAAAAAAATCACAACTTGGATCTGCCCATGAAGATGAGTACCACCCTGAAGGGTGGCAAGGACACAGGGCGGGTCCCCGTCAAGTCTCCATTTAATTCACCAGCCTGGCTGGATTCTGGAGAAAGGCACAGGCAGCTGCCCCCTCAATCAAGTAGTGGCTCCCATGGCAGTGGCCATGCCCCTGTGGCATCTCTTTTGCCAGAGCAGATTACAAGGTCCCTGGAACATGGTATCCAGCCATGGATCTGGTGAATGTGTTCTGAACTCGATCAAAAACAAACATCAGAAACCAGGTGCATTTATGGTTTCGCCCCAGGGCTATGTTTCTGGTTCTGCTCTCTGAAGAGACTCAGGTCTTCTGACCATCCCGCAGAATGTCACATTGATCTATTAAACTGATAGTCTCATGCCACTCAGGCAGAATTGGCAGAAGGGGTTAGCACACAGTTGGCTTTGGTAATTCACATGCAGTCTAGAAGGTGGAAGATAAACCCCATGAAGATCCAGGACTTGCCATTTCAGTAAGTTCTTGGGAGTCCAGTGGGGAAAATCAAATTGCCACATGTCGCATCCCCTTCTACAAAGAAGGAAGCACCGTGGCTGGCAGGACTCTGTGGATGCTGGAGGCAACACATTCCACACTTAGAGATAAGGCTCCAGCCCATAAACTGAGTGACACAGAGGCTGTCTGGGGCAGGGAAAGGACCCTGAAGCAGGGCCAAGCTGGTGGTGGTGGGGGGGGAGTTTCCCTGCCACTCAGGCCATATGCTCTGGTGGGCCCTATGGTAGTGGAGATGTCAGTCATAGACAGAGATGCAGCATAGATTTTATGGTGAGCCCCAGTGGGAGAATCACGATGCATGCACCTTGTTTTCTGGGGGGGGGGGGGGGGAAACTTTCCAATGACAGTGGAGAACTTTATGATTTTAGAAAACAGCTCCTGGCAGGTTACTGGGCCTTGGTAGAAACAAAATACTTGACTAGAGGACTTCAAGAGACCATGTTTCCAGAACTGTCCATCACATGCTGAGTTCTTTTGGACTCACTATTATGGACTGACTTGAGTCCCCACCCCGCCTCTTCAAATTCATGTGTTGTAATCTTAAGCTCTAATACTTCAGAATGTGACTGCATTTGGAAATAAGGTTTTTAAAGAGAAAATTAAATTAAAATGAGGTCAAGTGGAGGTTGGGACTAATCCAATCCAATCCTAAACACACTGGGGTGAGCAGTGTCCTTATAAGAATGAATTTAGACAGAGACATCAGCATGCACAGAGAGAAGACTGCATGAAGACAGGGAGAAGGAAGCTTTCCATAAGCCAAACAGAGAGGCTCCAGAAGAAACCGACCCTGCCAACGACTTGATCACAGACATCCAGCCTCCAGAAGTACAAGAAAATAAATTTCTGTTGTTTAAGCTACCTGGTCTGTGGTATTTTGTTACGGCAGCCTTGAGAAACTCATGCACCCAACTAGCCATAAAGTCAGGTGGGCCCAGTAGCAGTGCATGGTGAGACAAAAATGGCCCATTGGGATTGAGCCTGGGTAGAATCAGAGGGCACCAGGAAGCTGCAGGAGTATGTAGGCTAGACTCACATGTCATCAGCTTGGTCCTACCTCTCTCAGCTTCTACCTGTGGCCATGGAGGGCCACAACCTCCTGAAAAGAGAGAAAAAAACCCAATGTTATAGACCACTTGGCTTGTAATGTGTGTACAAGCCACAAACAGATGGTGGCTGCATTGAAGCCACATAGGGCTGGCTTTAAAAAATGTGCAAAGGAGCAATCTGTCAAAGGGCAGAGCTTTGAGCAGTGTCCCTGCTCCTGCGCTTTATTCGGAGGTGACTGGAAGTGAGAAATACATGAACGCATGGGCAGCGGTGAATGGCGTGGTTAGCCTGTCTGGTGACTTGGAAGGAAAAGACTAGAGAGGCAGAGATAAGGCAGGCTTGGAGGCATGTGAATGGCCACATAGGGGTGGCTGGGAGTGTGAAGATCCATGTGTCACATATTAATACCCCCTAGAAAGCAAACACCGTGGAAGGGACACTTAACAATCAGGTAGACAAAATGAGTAGGTTACTTAACTGTGGCTAGACTTCACCATCAACTACCCCAGAACGGCCGCAATGGGCACCTGAATGGACTCACCATACATGTGGAGATGGAACCTGCCCTTGGGCCCCCAACATGGACTCTAACTTACCAAGGCTAGTCTAGCTGCAGCCGCTGTTACACACGCAACCCACTGGCAGCAGATAAAGGCTGAGCCCCCAGTAGGACACTATTCCTTGAAGAACCAACCAGTTCCTTGGTGGCAAGTTAACTTCATTGAGTCCTTTCCAGCCTGAAAGGGCCAGTGGTCTATTCTCATGATCCTTTTTCCATACGGATTTGCCCTTTCTGCCTGCAGAGCCTTAGCCAGCACCATCACCCTACCCAATCTTGCTCCTTCTTTTATCGTTACAGGTGTTAACTTTGACCATCTGTTTCTGCATATTCCCTTCAGATTGGCTTCTTTCACTTAGTAACAGGCAGGTAAGCTTCCTCTGGGTCCTTTCGCAGCTTGACAGCTCATATAGTTTGGATACATCAGTTTATTTAACCATTCACCTGCTGAAGGACATGTTGGTGGCTTCCCAGTTTGGACAATGACAAATAAAGTGAATAGAAACATCTGCAGGTTTTTGTGTGAACCTAAGTTTCAAGTCCTCTGTGTAAATGCCAAGGGGTGTGATTGCTGGATCACACCCTAAGGGTGTTTAGTTTTGTCTTCCAAAGTGGTTGTGCCATTTTGCATTCCCACCAGCAATGTATGAGAGTTCCTGTGGCTCCAAATCCTTACCAGCATTCAGTGTTGTCAGTGTTCTAGATTTTGGCCATTCTAATAGGTATCTAATTTTTGTTTTAATCTGTACTTCTCTGATGATATATGACGTAGAACATTCATTTTTTACACTTTTTGCATAGAGTTTTTTTAACTGGCTTATTATCATGTGTTCCTAATGTTTGTCAAGGTCATCTCTTGAGACTAGATAAATGATAAAAGTGAAGCTATACTGAGTATATTGAAGTTGGAAATAAAAGTGTACACAAAAATATGTGCAAAAACAAATGACACAGAAAAAACGTTTTTTATTTTGTCATCTACCCTCAATGACCAAAGTTCACCAAAGACCACTTGCTTTCAGTTGGTCCCATTTTCTGCCTATAACTTCCTTGTCTCTCCACGCTCTCACCTCCACACCCTTGTGCCCATTCCCCTGCTCCATTTCCTCTAGCTACTGGCCACCCCCAGGAGGCACATTCTTTCCTACACAACTAGGAGCAGTGAGCATCACTTTGGTCACTCTCTCAGCCTTCTGCTCCGTCTGCCCCTCCTGACTCCAACTCTGCCCACCTCTGGATCAATCTATTTTGATACTTCTCAGAATTCTGGAATTACAAGGTTCAATTTCAGTTTGTGCTTCATTCTTGTTTGGCAAATCCTCTTACTAACTTTGGATCTCCTTATTCTTTTCTCAATCTCTACCTCCTCAAGGCCCTTCTCCACTCTTATCACCCTCCTTTAGCCACCTCCAAGTTACTGACCTTTTTACCCACTCCACAGAGGAAACAAGCCACCACTCATGCATGGAAGCCAGAAAGGCTGGGCACAATCTTGGACTCCTTTCCCTTTCTCAGTGCAATATCCAGTCAGTTGCTTTTTCAAGTCGTCTTAAAGTCTTTAGGAGACAGAGGAATTAAAAATATTTAATCAAGTAATATAACATTTTTTCTACAGCAAAATAAAAACATACCTCACTAAAAATAAAGCCACATTCTACATTAAATACATTAAAATATTGATATTTTATAAAGTCATTTTAAATGGTAAATACATAACATTTCTCTCATATGCAGTTACTTATATATAGTTCAACAACTGACTTTGAAAATATAAAAACTACTTCCTTCTTTTAAAAAACATTTAACTTAATTTTACAAAATTACTAAAGGTTAAAAAGTGCTAAATACGCTTCCATTGTTCCCATTTTAAAACAATTATAGCACATCAGATAGTTAAAAAAAGATGAATGAGGGCATATGCCTCATCCTATATTGCCTAAGAATGAAAACTTGAGACTTTCTGGGCAGTGGGAAAGGCTGGGAAGCTGAGTTCCGTCCAGCCAAGGCTGTCATCCGCACAGAGCTGTTCCCCGTCCTGGTTCTCAGAACCGTGAGATCCCACCTTCCTGGCCTCCCTCCTACAGAGAAGCCTTTCTAGGCCTCCTGGTTCCAAACTTTCAGGAGAAAAGGTTTCTGAGAGAATCTTGATATTTAAATCCTATGGCAATACTAAAACTATTCTGAAGATTGAGGCATTTTATGTTTGAATTTTATACAAACAGTCAAGAATCGGATTCTATATGAAGAAGACACTTCATCTGGTCACTTGATTTCTTATCACTTGTCGAGGTAGGATAATGTTCTTCTTTCTCTGAAAACTGTCCTTTCTATATAAACGGCGTTTGTACTGGAAAGGGTTCTAATGCCTTTTCTGCATTCTTCCAGTTGTGAAAATTCTCTCTGTACCAGTCAACTGATAGGAAAAACCAAAAGACAAAAATAAAAAATAAAACACCGAACACCAGTTAGCCAACATTTACTGGGCTCTTGCTATGTAAGAAAAAATCCTGCCCAACAGCTGTTCAGCTCATTTTACCTAGATTTTTAATTTAAGTAACAATCAGTCTTGCCAAAGGGGTGCCTCATGAAGAAAACAACTTGATTCTGAACTAATCAATGTCATTAATCACAAGATGTCTCAATACCTGAAAACTTAGATTTAACAATCAGTTATTGTTTTCTTTTTAACTTCAAAAGTCCTTCAATACTGCATCTGCTGGTGTTAAGAATTGAAGACATTCTGATTTTAAGAAAAACAGGGAGAGAGATAAGTCATTTGCCCTGGTTTTAAAGTTACAGAAAGAAATGTACTGTTTGTTCATGTAAATGCAGCAATACTGCATGACAAGTATGAGGAGATGTTGTTTTCTTCCTTCTGGTAATATGTAAAATTAGCTTATGTGGCTATACTATCGGTAAAGTTTTTTTGGGTTAAAAAGTGATCAATTATCTCTGAATTAGCTTTTAAAAATCCAACATAAGAACTCTGTGTCAAGCTCTAAACGAAGACTTTTCCTCTACATGTGAGTTTATCTTTTTTCATGAATACATTTTTAAACCGAACTTTAACATATATATACAGATTTTATATACACTCATCTTAATGGCTATTTCTGCACATACTAAATTTTGTTGGTTTCAACATAAAAAGACTTAAGACACTCAAAGACAGCAACTCGATTGCTCCTCAAATTGAAGATGCCACGGACCTTAAAATGGACTGTTATTTTACATATTCCAAAGAAAGAAAGGAAAGTGCAATAAGAAGAAAACACCGGCAACATTAAAATTCACACCTTTAAAGGATATGGAAAAAAGTGAAAAGTCTGCACCTGAGAACCAATGAACTAGGTATCTGACAAATGCTGATAAGACACAGGAAGGCTGAGTAGAAGTCAGTATGTGAAATACAACATGTGTAGGAGATGTTACTGTTGCTGCCGGAAATACATGAAATGTAATAGTTTGAAAAGTGAAAATGATTCATCACCACAGTCTACTGAATTTATAGTGTTCTAAAAGTAAATTACATTTCCTTTAAATTTTTCTGAATCTCACCCTCTCCCCAGAAAGTATCAATGCAGAACATACTTGTTTTCTTTATTCCCTCTTTCCAAGGCACTTTGGGTCTCCATCCTAAGCCATGTATTTTTTCTGACTTCATTGGATATCTCATGTCATTGGTAGGTCTCAAAAAAGAAAAAAAAAAAAAGATTTAAAATGACATTGTGGATACATATTTACAAATTTAAATACTAAGAGAACTAATGTGTGTTCATGAACCTTTACCATAATTCAAATTTTTTCTTAAAAAATTCTCCCTGATGACATACTGAGAGAAAATTTGTAAAATAAAGTACACGTTGAAAAAAATAATCTGGAATCCCAGATGCCTAACCCTCTCTATGGCTCATCCTTTTTTGCTTTCAGCCATGATCTGGGTATGAACGCAATGCCTCATACCTAAATGTTTGATGAATGAATAAATAAGTCCACATAAATATATTAGGGCTCTTATGTCCCATACCCTAGGTCAGGTACTTTATATATGTTATAATAAACCTTTAAATACTTCTGTTAACAAGACATTATTATCCATATTTCACACTCCAGAAGACCTCAGACTTGGAAAAGGTCAGTAACTTTCTTTAAGTCACACAGCTAGTAAGCAATAATGTTACACTTTATTCTTTTGATATGCAATTAGGAAAAAAATATTTTAGTGGAAAAATCAAAAGCGATAACACTAGTTTCTGGTTAAGTCCATATATTTTAGAATTATGTAAGTATCTAAGATTTCACAACCTTTCCCCAAGGCTTTAACTTGTTACTCACCTATCATTCACATAATCTACCCAGTTTTCCATTTCAGACTCTGAACTGGTCTCTTTGATCTGTCAAAATGGAAAAGGCTTTTGAGTCAAAATTATAAAGTGAGACCAGAGAATAACAAAGGTATTCAATAGCTGATTAAAGAGACCAGAAAAACAACCCCTTCGGAGTGCCTCAGTGATGCACTGGGTTAAGCGTCTAACTCCTGTTTCGGCTCAGGTCATGATCTCAGGGTCATGAGATTGAGCCCCACGGAGTCTGCGTGAAGATTCTCTCTTCCTTTCCCTCTACCCCTCCCCCCCATCTCTAGCTCTCTGTCTAAAATAAATAAATACATCTTTAAAAAAAAAATAACCCCTTCAAAGTGGGGGAGGGAGCTAAAATGAAGAACATTTTAGGAATACTTTCCATGCTTGATAACCCACATTCCATCTGAAGCTCATGAAGAATACACATTGCATAAACTAGGGGAGAATATTAATTTTTTGGGCTCTTGGTTATTATTCAGTGTGATACCGTAACTTATAATAAGTATATATTTGGTCTTTATCCAAGTTCCTAAAACCCTTGGAATTTCCTAAGTGACATGAGATAAAAGTGCCTTCTGCTATTCACAACAAGCTCCTTTCAAACACACCAAGGTTATGTTAATGAGTGAATTTTGGAAAGCCCCTAAAGGATGGGGGCTGGTGGCCAAGGGAACCAAGCCTGTGCTTAGAGGGCTGGAGCCTGAATTAATAGCCAGTGGTCAACGATTTAACCAATCATGCCTACTTAAGGAAGTCTCCATGAAAAACCAAAACAATGGGGTTTGGAGAACTTCTGAGCTGAAGAAAACATGGAGGTGCTGGGTCAGTGGTGGGCCGGGTCAGTGCATGGTCAGTCCATGCTCCGGCATCTCCTCCGTCTGGCTGTTCCTGAGTTCTATCCTTTGCAATGAGCCAATAATCTAGAAAATAAACTGTTGAGTCACTCCGGCTAAGCACCTCTGCTGATCAGTGGTCAGAAGCCCAGATGACAACCAGGTTTTGTGGTTGGCCCGTGAAGCAGGGGAGAGTCCTGGAGGTGTGAGCCTTTAGTCTATGGGATCTGGAGCCATCTCCAGGCAGATAATGTCAGAATTGAGTTAAATAATAGGCCACCCAGCTTGTCTCTGAGAATTTCTTGGTGTGGAAAACCCACATGTTTGGAGTACAGAGTATTCTGAGAGCCGAGCAAAGGAAAGTATTTCCACACACCAAGTCTCCCTTACTACTGAATCCTGAGACTGAGAATTGATGTTCACTAATACGTACATACACTCCTAACTATAATTACTTCCATATCATCAATCCTTAAGATTAGCACACACCGTTTTGTATTTCTGACATTGAGGTATTTATTATAATAAGTTTCTACATCCAATCTGTTAGGACTTTTACTTTCCCGAAAAGCTGTTATAAATGAGTGATATAACTTCCAATAATGATATATCTGCATGTTACTTTTCATTTTTTTACTCATTCACTTTCTAATTGAGTAAATTATAAACTGGTGATTTTGACTAAATGAGTGATGACTGCCACTGATTTAGTGACCATTTTGAAAACACTACCCTCTTAAAATATATGCATACCAGTTGTATTAGTTCTTTGGCAAGCTGGAGCACTGACATTTCAAAATTGGTTCCGATGTTATAAATTTCACCTGGTTTCCCTTTCTTGAGGACAGTGAGAAATGCTTCTACTACATCAGTTGCATAAAGGAAATTTCTTGTTTGAAGCCCTGATCCATGAATGCAGCTAAAAAGATTAAATGAAAGGGAATCATAAAGTGTAAAAAGCTCTCCCAAACCAGGGTAACACAACACCTGGATACAATTCCAGAGAAGCCAATTTCATTGGGGAGCCTAGAAAGCTTTTACTGAAAACACTTATTCTCATGACTTTTCTAAATTTTATCCATAATTTTTAAATGACCACCGAACCTCATGCAGCACTCAGTAAGGAAGTAACACACATATAAATGATCCCTCAGAAATAACTTATTCATCAATTTTCTACCTTAAGTTCATTTTGAAGAAATATGTATAGCTCAGTGAATTAAATAAATCCTTTGGAAAAGCAAAATTATATAAAGATGTTGGATCTTAATGAGATAATTCCAAGTTCTAGGCTACATTATTTAAGAACTGAAATTATTAAAGAAATTTCAAGTTATCTAAGTAAATCATAAAGATGAGTAACAGATTATAATTATTTAAAGAACCATCACATTGAGTGTAGAAGGAATACATACATCTGTTGAAACATTCAATTCTATGGTCTTCAACTCTTAAGACTTTATGATTTTCAAGACAGGCTGTCACCAAATATTTTCCACATACCAGAAAAACATATGGGTACAAAGGTAAAAAATAACATACCATTTCCTGTTGTGTTGTAGTAAAGATATAAATTTTGGAATAACCTAAAAGAATATTTAAATATCATTTCAGATATTGGAAATTCACTCATTAATATGAATCTAACTCATCATAAGATTAAAAGATTATGCTTATTAAGAAATATGCATATAGATAAATTCTAACTTTTTATCAGTTTCAAGAAAAAAGCTATTGTAATTTTGATAAGTGAAAGAATTCTACGATAGCCTCCTATTTCACAAAAACAAGACATCTGCTGGACAAATATAAAGACAAAATGATACAAATAGTGTAAAAAATCAGAAAAGGTCTTCCTGAACAGTTTGGTCTCATCACAAAAGTTCACCTTTGATTTCCTGAGGACAGGAATCATAGCCTACTTATTGCTTTGTGTACAGCACCTACCCAATCAGTGCTTGTGAAATGAATAAAAAGTAAATTCCAGTTCCACTGAATTTAAAGAAAGGTTATGTTAAATAGGGTGAGATATACTATTCACCTTATATAGCACCTCTGAAAGGTACTCCCCAAATCAAGCAAAGGAGACATTAAGACCAACAGATCATGACATGGCCCCTTTCCTTGGCCAAAGAGATCAATGCAACCAGCTGGAAAGTGAAAAATCCCATCTCCCAATTTTTAGGCACAGAAGGCAATGGTTCGTTCAAATTAGGTTTAATGATACAGAACCAGCTGAACAGTTGGTTCAGCCTTTTAAGTACATTTCTTTATTCACGACTCGTACTATTTTCTGGAAGACATTCAGGCCAGCAACTATAAAGAGGAGCTGGGGAAAACAGTGAGCCGGCTGACGGGAAGACAAATTTCTGTACCAGCTTCCCGCAGGACTCTCTAACTAGCTCTCAAATTCCTGGATGCAAGCCAGGAAGGAGTCTTCAGCAGCATGGCAGGGGCAAAGGGAATGCTCTGTAGAGCTTCAGAATCGTGAAGAGCACCAGGCATTTTCACATTGTGATCTCACTGAATCCTTCAAAATCCCTTCTGAGTATTTTCACTATCCCCCAGTTTAAAGATGATGCTCCAAGGGCCCAAGGTCACACCAGCCCGTGTCAGGTTGAGACCTCAACTGGGGTCTTGAGACTCTACACCTGATGAGATTTGCATGTGGCCCATACAGTGCTTCTAATTATGTATAATTACAGCAGAAATTATTTCAGACAAAGAACTGAAGAGGGATTATCTTCAATAACGAGAAGCTACAATCACTGAAACACAGTGTGGACTCACAAGTAAAATGTACCTTTTCGGGATACTGATGTGGTCCGTAAACATTACTGCTTCGCGTGATGACAGCTGGAAACTTAAAGAGTAGTCAACGTTAACGCAGTAAGAGGCCCAATTGTAATGATTCTCTAAAGAAGTCCTGAAAAATGGGCACTTGCAGCTAAGTGACTCCACACACATCAAGGACAGAAGTGAAGGGCTTTTTTTTTTTTTTTTTTTTTTTCTGATGTAAGGTTCCTGAAAATATGGGAGAGGATAGGACTCAGAGAAAGGCAGAGGCTCCTAAAAGAAAGAGGAATATTTTCTTTCCTGGGACAAGAGCAGGATGAATATAGATGGGGGCAGGTTGGTTAGGTTTGAGAGCAGAAAATCAAGGGAATTTCTACCAGATGATTTCAGAGACTGCGTCTCAGACCTTGGGTTTGGTTAGATGTGAAACTTCACGTTGTTTTTCTCTGATGCACCAACGCTTACAAAGAAAAAGAGCTACCATGAAAGGGCAAAGGGTCAACGCTATGGAACACAAAAGGCAAGAAAATGTCAACTCCCATCATGAGGAGCCAAGAGAGGTGAATCAGGCAGAGGGGAGCACGTGCAGGTCACGGAATCTGCCCTACTCTGTCTTCTTCCCCCTGGAGGATTCTGGGAATCAGGATATTCCAATAGGGCTTTTCCCTACAGCTGTAATACTTCATGTACCACTGAAGTGGGAAAACATATATAAAAATGATTCCTTTAAGTGGTGAACTAAACAAGAAGTAGGTCCTACTTTGTCCACATGATATAGGAAATAAATATTTTAAACTCCTTAATATATAAACTCCTGAATCTATGTCTTCAACTTTAAAAATGGAATGTAGCTAATGCTAACTTGGAGTTTTATCACCTAAGTCAAAAGAAAAATAATTCAAGAGTTTCTGAAATCAGCTCTTACTTTATATCGTTCCCAGTACGACTGTACAAAACACTCAGCAGCTGCTTTAGATGATGCATAAGGATTTGTAGGTTGTTTGGGTGAAGATTCATCAAATTCCTAATTTCAAAAAAATGCATTAAAAATACATATTATGCATAGTTTCTAAGTAGAAAAAATAAGAAAACATATAATAAACTTGAAATGTTAATTACTACATGTTAAAAGACATTATTGAACCCCAACTACATCCCTGGCATTTTTCTAAGCATTTTTTATATAGTAGCATTCACAGCAACCCTCTAAGAAAGGCAGAGAGAACAGCAGGTGCAAAGGTCCTGGGGCAGAATTGTGTTCAAAGGAACTGCAAGGAGGCTGATGTGAGAGAGAGAAATGGGAGATGAAGCCAGATAGCTGGAGGGCTGCCAGACCATGCAGAACCTTGAAGGCCAGTGTAACAATACGAACAGGTTTTGAGCAGAGTAATGTCATGATCTGACTTTTATTTTAAAAATCATTCTGGCTACTGTGTCAGATCTGATGTAGGGTGACAAAGGTACAAGAAGAAAAAAGTTCACCTCACAAAAATTGCAATGAGAACTGAGAATAATAGCTTCTCACAGGTGGGACTGGATACTGAGGAGAAGTGCTCAGGGTCTGCTTTTTCTCATTAGAAGTTGTTTCAAACTCCTTGATTTTTTTTTTCACCATGTATGTGTTTTGGTAAAAATATAAAACAGAATGAGGTCACTTGTTGAAAACAGTGATGATGAAAAATACAGATGAGAATGGAGACATCTTTTGCATAAAAAGTACAATATGTACAAACGATTGAAAAAGAACAGATGCCAGTTCCTACACTAATTTCACATTTACTCCTTAATGTTCCACTGCTTCCTGAGGGGAGGAGGAAGGTGAGCAGGTAGTATGCTGCAGTCTAGTTACCTACACCTGGCCCATGGGAAGGACATTTGTCATATATGTCTTGGGACAGAAAGGTGGGATGTTCTGCTCTCTTGCAAAATATTGTCAGTCAAATTACATATAAATTTGTACCAAGACTAGGTAGTTGTTGTCATTCGGGGTGACATTCTTTGGTCTGAACAGAAGACACAAAGGAATAACATTTTGGAGAGTCCCACAGTGTGTGTAATGAGGGGATGAAAGAAACCCAGAAGAGATTTTAAGAAGACAGATTTGCATCGTGGTCCATGGTAAGTAGGAGAAACATACCATTTCTTGAGCTTACCTTATCAAGACTGCCTCCGTACACTTCATCTGTGCTCACGTAAATGAACTTCTCCACTCTGGCTTCGTGAGCAGCACTCACCAAAACATGAGTGCCATAGACATTAACATACGTAAACTCAAAGGCACGTACAAATGAAAGATCTAAAAAAAAAGAGAGAGAGAGAGAAATCTATAATAATTCCACCCAAGGGACAAAACAAACACCCAACAGTAGACTCAGGTTTAAGGAAAGTTCTATTCACTTCTCTTCATTCACCACAACTGCAAAAGTTTAAAAAAAATAACAAAAACACATTGCTATTTATAATTGCTTTAAGCCTAAATTGTGAAGCATATGTAAATTCTTAGAACCTAGAAAACTATCAGTGCTAAATTTGCGGGAAACACTTTTTTTTTTATTCTAAAAAGAAAAAAAAAGGATACATCTAAATTTAAAATGTTCTTAAATTTAAAACTTGAAACTTCCAGTTTCATAGATGGCAAGGCTTTTCAGATCAATCTGTTATTGTTGAAAACACAACAAATGTTCGATAAATTATTTTTAAAATAAATTTACTTGAAGAATAGGTTCTCTATAATCTGGGAATGAGGGGAACTTTACTAAAAATGGCTCACAATCCAGAAGCAAAAGGGAAAAAAAAAAAAAAACAAAACCTGATCAGTTCAACTATGTTACAAGCTCTTGCACAGAAAAAACAACCAACCAGAAAAATCTATAAACAAAGTAAAAAGACAAATGACAGATGAACCATGAGAGACTATGGACTCTGAAAAACAATTTGAGGGTTTTGGAGGGGTGGGGGGGTGGAGAGATGGGTGAGCCTGGTGGTGGGTATTAAGGAGGGCACGTATTGCATAGAGCACTGGGTGTGGTACATGAACAATGAATTCTGGAACACTGAAAAGAAATTTGAAAAAAAAATTTTTTTTAAGACAAATGACAAACTGGGACAAATATTTGAACTTATCAGAAACAAAGGGCTAATATGTTCAATCTAAAAAGAAGTTCTATAAAATAAAAGGAAACAACCCTTTTGGATAGGAGATATAAACAAGTAGTTTAGACAAGAAATACAAAGGTCCTTAAGCTGAAGATGCTCAGCCTCAATTACAAGAAGAAAAATTCAAAATGAAATCTCAGAGATGCCACTTCTTACCTATCAGATTGACAAAAATTAAAAAATTTGACACCACCTTCTGTTGGTGAGGCTCTGGGGGAAAAGATACTTTATATATTACAAGTAAGAATGCAAAGTGTTTTCAACCCCTAAGGAAGGAAATTTCTCAATAGCCAGGTGAATTACATATGCCTTTACCCCTTTACCCTGGTTATCAGGCTGAATTGTGCTCCCCCCAAATTCATGATGGAACCCTAACCCCAAGTACTTCAGAATGTGCCTATATTTGGAGACAGGGCCTTTAAGAGGTAGTTAAATAAAAATAAGGCCATCCAGGTCCCTCGTCCACCATGACTGGTATGTTTCAGAGAAGACATTTTGACACAAAGAGAAACACTAGGGATGCTCGGGGGGGAAAACTGTGCGAGTACACAGAGAGGGAGTGGCCACTTGCAAGCCAAGGAGAGAAGCTTGAGGAGAAACTGGCCTGCTGGCGCTTGGACTTCCAGCCTCCAGAAAGGTAAGAACTAAATTTCCGTTGTTTAAGCCCCTAGTCTCTGGTATTTTGTTATGGCAGCCCTAACAAACTAATCCACCCTGAATTTGTCCTTCTAGGAATCCCTCCCAACATCAGTTGGCAAGTATACACAAGGACACAGGCATGAAGCCATCCACTGCGGTACTATTTAAATAGCAAAATGCAGGAAACGAACACAAATGGGGTACAGCTACATAATGGAGCATATGAAAATAAAAAGGAATGAGGAATATGTTATATTCTGCAACAGAATAATCTCCTAAATATACTATGGAGGAGACCAAGGGAAATTATAATTTTAAAATCAAGTAACAAGGCAGTAATATACCACGAATGAGGATTCAACAATATTCTATCTTCTGTTTAGGTGATGGCTATATGGGTATTCACATTATCATTACTCATTTAGCTTTACTTCTAAATTCTTCTGAATGTATGGTATATTGCACAATATAAAATGGTAGACAGAAGATATCGCAGATGCACAGACGACTACGGATAATATAATGTTCAACAGTGTATCCCCCATCCAGCTTAGAAAACACACACACACACACGCACATTAAAAATATAGGTGAAGGCCCATCTCCTCAGAAGTTATTACTATATTGCATTTAGTTAAACTCAATGTTTTAAGATAGCATTCAAGGTTATATTTCAACGTACATTAATAAAAGTGACTAGAAAAGCATGCAGTTTTCCTGGAAGAGCATGGTATATACTCCTTCAAAGACATATTAAGTCCCTACTTGCTTGATTTCAATACTGGACTTTGATTTAGGGTAATTAGCCACCAGGAAAAAAATTTGCCCATCGTAACTGTAACATAAAACAATGCTTACCTACATGTGTTTGTGCAGCAAAATGTAGTACTATATCTATTTTTTCTGTTTCAAAAAGCAGTTTCACAAAGTGAGAATTACATATGTCACCCTATACAAAAAAGAAAACAGGAAAAAGCCAAGTTTCACTCAGCACTGCCATTGGTAATAACCATTTTACTACATGAACCAAAACAATGATAAGAAAAAAATTAATCTCCCCCCACCACCCTGCTTTAATAGAGATTATCTTGAAAATCCAACCAAGGGGTCAAATAAGTATAGTAATGAGGTATTTCTCCAGCATCTGAGGATATAAGATAATCAATTCAAAATACTTATTTGCAAATATGTGTCCAAAACCATATTTTATTGAGCACCAATGACAACTAAGAAGCAAGCTAGCTTTTTCCCATAACATTTTTGCCAACCTCATGTTAACAGGAGATTTTTGTAAACATATTTTTAAAGTTTGAGGTAACCATTATTGCAATACATTTAAAGTAAGTGTAACCATTTACAACCACATTTTTAAAAATGTGTTTCACCACAACTGAGTGAACTAAGTGAACTCGTAAAAGGACTTTCGATGTTACATGTACATTTAACTCTTCTAGAAATATATATTCTCAACAATTCTTTGGTGACTGAAAGAAACGCTTTCATATAGAAGAGTGTGCTCAGTATATTCTTTATAATTTGTGGTGAAAAGGAGAGTTTTATAGATTATCTTTAAAAAAAAAACCCATAAATCATTAATAGTTTCATTTGACATTAAAATTTCCCTTTGCAAATTAATGACTTGGCTCTCTGGTTTATACTTTGGACTCTTCTAAGAGTACCTAGTAAATCAGCCCTCCAGAGCCAATCAATCCACATTGATTGAAGAACATTAGCCCACGGGCTGTTAGGATAGGCTCTTTGGCTGTTGACTGGCCTAAGTAACAGTCCCCTTTACACTAATCTCTTTAAAACCCAGCAAGACCTCGTTAAGAAGGCTATGGAGGACCTAAAAATCATAAACCATGTAAGGTCAGTCACCTATCCAGAGAGCTGCCAAGGCACCAACTATCACACGCAGCTTTATAGTGGTATTAATCTAAAAGTAGTAGTCTCTGTAGCACATGGTACTTCTGGAAATTAGAAGGTCTTCAATAAGCATGCTTTCCAAGCCCACACTACACAAGCTTGCCAAGTAGAAACAAGGTCTGAATGGCTACAGAGGCACAGCATAAAACTTATATAATTATAAGAAAAGTTTCATACCTGTATAAATTTGTAGTTTTGTTTGTTAGAAATGGTTTCAAGATTCTTCAAGCTTGCACAGTAATCCAGCTTAAAATAAGTAAGTGAGGGAGAGGGAGAGAAACAACACCAAAAGCGATAATAGTTTTTCCTATAAAATATCGATTTATTTTAAAAAACTGTAGCTATTCTGATCGTAATATGAAAACATGTTTTCTTAAAGGGTTTGCTCTTTGCTTTTAGAAGAAGTCTCTGGTATATTAGAAAGTAAAAAACAAAAACCATGTAATCTTGTTACTTTTTGAAAATACAAAAAATTATTTTTTAGAAACCCTTCCTTTAAAAAATTTTCCGGCCCAGATTTGCCCCCAGCCACCAGAAAAGCTTACCATTTCTCACTGCAAAAGAACTAGTACTTGAAAACAATTACACCTTTGTTATGCATATTATAACTCATTGCACTGTTTTCAGAGTTAATTGTTGGTAAATCCCTGTACAAAGGGGGAAAAAATTACTGTCTCTGATAGTAAGGCAGGCAAAAATTGGCAAGACCTACAGATAATTCTGTCTATAGATTTTTACTATTACGTCTTATGAAATTAAGGTAACTGCGTCTTGTGTTTCAAGTCAAAAATCCAGTGATTACCAATCATGGCTTTCGGACTCTTCAGGGAGACTTCAATTATTACAGAAAAATCCTCAAAACTAAATTAGTTTTAATCTAAGAAATAAGTATGTAATTTTCCAGAGGGTGGCAGTTATAATACCAAATAATAAAATAATAAATCAAATAATCAAAGTATCCCAATTCCAGAAAAATATTAATAATCACAAGATTACATTAAATATTGAATTTAGGGTTGAAGATATTCTTCTGGTAAAAATACTGCACTTAAAAGCTTTACTTTATGGGCTATCATAATGAAAAACTTCTAAAAGACTAAGATTAAATATAGCATGATCACATGACTATGTAGATCCCTAAGTTGCTAAAATGACCAAATAAAAACTAAAATATCAGCGGGATAAGATTCTAATACTTTTTAAAAAATGTATAAAGTATCAGTGCATGAAGCTCATTTTTATAAAACTCACCTTGTCTAGATTTATGATCATATAGTTTGGATAATCTTCTACTAAAGAAACAATCATATGTGATCCGCTTTAAAAAAAAAAAGTGTATTTTGTTAGTAGAAGATGTAACCTTTTCCCTAAATTCTTCACATTTCCTAAATGTTACCTTAACCTGTCGAGTATTAGAAACTATTCAGAGATATCTTTAAGTTTCTGCAAAATAACGGAATTAACATTAAGTACACTGAATACATTCCCTCCCCCAACCCCACCACTTTTCACTAACTTTCTCAACAGGATCAATAATCGGTATTGATATATCAATATCCTTTGGCACTGTGGAGAAAAAAGAGAATTTACTGGTCCTGGGTATAAGGGAAAAAAATTGTTTAACCAAACAATCTGTGTCCATGTGCTTTGAGTGTGGGAGTGAAGCAGGATGATAAAGTACAATGGGTGGTGGTCAGTACAGGTAGACTGAAACTATAACGTACCTTTTAAGAGACCGTGGGTATAACTGCAAAACTTCACTTAGTATGAGCACAGTTGTTGATGTTCACAGTAACCCTACTGCAATTACTATCTCCTGGTACAAGAATATGGTTGTGTAAACTAGAAAATTCAGGGAGGTTCTAGATTAAACCGAGGTTTCCAAGCTAATAATGGCTGAGGCCATCCTGAGTTGGGTAACCATATTGGCTCCTGGTTTTCCCAGGACCAGGAGTGGAACCAGAGGCATCTCTCAGTGAGATGGTCCACCAGATTTCCTCATAGACACCAAAACATTCGGCTCCCAGGAATAAGGGCAGCCCTTGACCAAATTATGAACTCAGAGTTTGTACCTGACAGCCCTTTCACAGCATTTTTCTAGAACCTGCCCTTCTGGGACCAGCACTCTCACACAAGTACCACCCTTTTATGGCCATGCCCCTCTTCTTATTAGATAAATCCTGCCAGCCTGATACCCTCCTCCAAGTTATTGTCAGATTTAAAGAGGTGACTTAATATGCCAATGGGGGACGTGATTCCCATGTTCCCATGTTCTCTTCCACTAGACATTGGGAGTTTCCTGTTGGTAACTGTGCATTCATCCATTCAATAACTACCGAAGACCTTTGTAGAATAAGCCAGGCATTCTTACAGATTCTGAGGGGAACAGTAGTCTCTGCCCTCATCCAGTTTACATTCTAGAGCAGGGATGCAGGCAAGAAGCCAGTAAACACTAATACACAAAATAACTTCAGACTTCAGATAGTGATTAGTGTGTTAGTTGGGAAAGGGCGCTTTTAGATAGGATGGCTAGGTAATGCCTGTCCCAGGAAATGATGTCTACGCAACCATCGGAAATGAGTGATGCAAGCGCTCTAACCAAAGGGGAAGCAAGTGCAAAGGCCTCGACAGGAGGAATGGGCCTCGTGCGTTCCAGAAATTCCAAAAAGGTTAAGTGCGGCAGGTACAGAAAAACAAAGAGGCAGAATGGCAGATCAGGTTGGAAGATCAGGCCCTGGGGCACTTGAGTCTTCTAGATATGCAAAAGAGTTTTGTTTTAATTTTATTCTAAGTTTGACAGGCTGGGGTAAAATTTTGTGGGTAAAACTTTGTGCACTTATCTACTTAATAAAAACTGACTTCTGTGTGCAGAACAGACTTTTAGCCAACAGGGGGGGAAGCAGTAGGACCAATCAGAAAGCTACAGTAGCAATCTAGGCAGAAGCCAGTAACGTGAACTACGATGGGAGGGGGAAGGGGCGAGAAGTGGTCGCTTGGGAAGCAGCGAACGAGGACTCACTGATTGCACGTTTGTGTGGGAGGGCAAGAGGCATCGCTCAACTCATCCAGCTCAAAGCACCAAGAGAGGGTGTGGTGTTGTTGTCGTTGTTGTTTTATAGCCCGCTGAATAAATGAATGTCCTGCTATAATCCAAAAATCGTTTCTTGGCTCTTACATGCACAAGGCCTGTCTGCGTACGGACAGGGCGGGCTGGAGGCTGGGCAGATGGTGAGGAGTTTACTGCCATGTGGGGGCACTCGGACGAGTGTCAGGTGCATCCCGGGCCAGGTAAGAAGGCAGAGAGCACCACACCGCTTCAGCTTTGGTGGGGAGGCGCCTTAAAGAAGTCGCGGTTTCAAAGGAACCAAGACTTCGCAAGCGGGGTGAGGGGGGGAGAAGGTAGGCTGATGCTGTTCGTGCGTTAAGACCCTCCCATATCAGACCCCCCAAGCTGGTTCCAAGTTGCCAAGAGCAAGCAGAGGCGCAGGAAAAGGTTGGGGTTTCTGGGGAGCCACTCCTCGTCCAGCGGCGCCGTTACCTACATGAAACCAGCACCCCCGGTCACCAGGAGCCGCTTCGCAAAGCCGCTGGGAGGACCCAAGGGCTCCGTCCGGCCCGCAGCCGACATCTCCCAGCTCAGCAGTGCCCGGCAGCGTCAAGCGCCAGATCTGTACACCGCAGCGAAGTTCCACCGCGACTTTGTGCGACGCGTCTCGCGGCCCCGACACGTCAGTGGGGAAGGCGGCAGCAGCTTCCGGAGACGGGCCCGCTTATCCCCGCCCCCTTGCACGCTGGGCGGGGCCCTGGGGTGCGAGGGCCGCGCCACGCTACTGCGCAGGCGCAGCTCTTCTCTTTCCCAAACAGGGCCCGTTAGGCGTAATTGGGGTGGCTGGGAAGTGGGGTCTGGAATGTTTTGTGTCAAGTGACACCAGAATGGATCAGGCTTTACCTGGGTACGCAGATGGTCGGAGTTATGAACGATTACCTTCTTTTCATTCCTGTACTGCTGGACAATTTCCACAGATGACTCTCTGGTTGAGCCGAGAACTTCAGAAGTTCTCTGCTTGCAAAGTGTGGAAATGGGAGTTCGCAACTGCAAAATGCGTTTTGCTTTGTTGTTAATATCATTACCGACAAATCAGGCTGCTGGCAGTCCTGGTAGAGGTTCCCTAGATCCTACCCCTACTCTTCTTGCTCACCCTGCCTGCCCTCCTTGTTTCTCCTTGAATTTGTCAAGCATGCGACTTCCCTTAGGCCTGGATGCCCTCTCCCCAGATGCCTGCCTAGTTTTTACCTTTACTTCTTCAGTTCTCAGGTTGAAGGTCACCCTTGTAGAGAGTCCTTCCTTGACCACCCCAATTAAAATAGCAAGCTCTACCGCAGTCCTGCTGAACCATTTTATGCTCCTTTCTTTTTTCTCCATAGCAGTCATCAACATTTATGTTGAACTGATCGTTGGTACTGGCCAGAGAGGGCAGGGTCTTTGTTTTGTTTCCTGCTATAATCCCAAGGCCGGGGCACCAGGCCTGGCACAGAATAAATGATAAATTAATGTTGAATGGATAAATAAATATCCTGATTTTTTTTCTTTTTTCATATAATGTGTTGGCAAAGTAGAAAAAGAATGAGAATACCCAGTATATATGGAAACGTCATTTGTTACAACCTTTTGGGGGGGACAAAGTGGTAACATATAGGAAAAGGTCAAATGCGCATAACTTGTGATTCCCAAATTCCATGATATATAATATAGATAATTGCAGAAAAACACAAATATGTTCACCGATATATTGTCTATATGTAATAGCGAAAACGTGCACACAATCTAATAATACTATCTCACTTCTTAAATACAACGGATCTCGAGCGCTACAGGCTCAGACAGGAGAACTTGGGGTGTTCAGCGACCTGACAGTGGCTCGGTAAGGATGGAGACCAAAAGTCGAGTTGGAAATTGGAGAGACTCGAAAGCTATAGTCTGGAGTCTGGCTTGTGTACTACAGGTGATCAAAACCTTTGAAGGAAGTGATGCAAATTTTGTTTCCCAAAGCTTTCTGTGGCTCTAGGGTAGAGATGGCTGTGTGTGGCCAACTGGAGAAAATTAAGACTGTGCCACAGGACAAGTAAGATGAGACCAGGATGGCCTGGATACCAAGAGTGGCAGCTGCTTCCTACCATCGCCTCCCAGAAGAGGGGCTAATAGACATGTTTCATTGAGATAATTGGATGTACGGGTGTACACTGTACTTCGCAGCTGTCTGACGATATAATTCAAGAAGACAGGTAACCAAAGAAGTTAAATTCGGTTAGATGTGCCAAGAGAATTCTTGCATTAAACTTGGACATTGAGTTACAGCCACGTGTCTTTCGGACACTAAAACGGAAACGTCCAGTAGTTTGCATAGGCACCTTGGCCTTTGCGGGAGCTTTCTTTTCCTCACCAGAACCGGTGCCACCGTGCGCTTCTTCTCAGTTCTTCCAGAACCCTACAAACTCCCTGGAAAGTCCTCGGAAGACTGGCGCATGCGCAGTAGTACCACGCACGGAGACGGCGGAGGGCTAGGCTTTTTCCGTAACCCGAGGCAGCATCCTTCCGAGTCTCCATAAAAAAGGCGGGAACTAGCCGGCAGGCGGGGAGTGATGGGACGCGCGCCTCCACACGTCCCGCCCATCTCGGGCTCTGATTGGTGGGTGTACTTGGCTCGTGGCGGAGGGGCCTGCCACATAGGTTGTCAGTCTCCCGGGGGCGGGTCCGGGACGCCGGTCCTGCTCCCTCCTCCCGCGGCCCAGGCTGCCGACGTGGGGAAGGCGGCCGCAGGCGGTTGGAGCCCAGGTGTAGGTGCCGCTAGGGAGAGGGGGGGATGGGAGCCCTGCGGCTGCTGGCGGTATCTCTCGCCTGCTGCTGGTGGCCGCCGGGCAGCCAGGGTAAGACCCTGCGGGGCAGCTTCAGCAGCGCCGCGGCCCGAGACGCTCAGGGCCAGAGCATCGGCCACTTCGAGTTCCACGGTAGGTGCGGGGGCGGGGAGCGGGATGCAGGCGCGTGGGCCCATCCCGCGGGCAGCGCCTCCCTGCCTCGCTGGGGGAGGCCTGGAGCCGGTGGCCGCGACGCGGGGGACTGCCCCGGCTGCACCTGGACTTCCCGCATAGCCGCCAGCCCGCCCGCGACCGCAGCTGCCGGGATCCGGGGATGCGTTAACGCCCGCCGTGCTGTCGCTGCTCCCCACTCCCTGGTCTGCACCCTCCCCCGACTAGTGACTGTGGTCTGCACTTGAAACGCCGTTTCCCCCTCCCTCCCCACACGTTCGAAAGTACCGAGGACTTCCTCTGCTGCATCTTTCGAGATCCTTCCCTCAAGGAAGCATCCTTTGCTCGGTCCTGTCTCAGCCTGGTTATATACACTAAGACACTGTACTTATGGGTGCATTTAAGCTCCAGAACTTAGATTTACTGGGTTTAATTTTTGTTTTTAAGATAATTTGCTAAAACCTACTCGAAGCAGAGAGGTTTGGAAACCAAATAAAATACTTGCTAATCTAGTGGTCCCAAGGGGGGACAGTTTGGTTACCCCACTACTAAAGGAGTGGATTTACCATGGATCAGGAGGCCTAGAATTCACTTGACAGAAATGCATGTAAGTGTGTTCTGGAAGCTTCATAAATGTATCCTTTTTGGCCTTTCTGAGACGAGAACTGCATTTGATTCTGACTTCCCGGTCTCCCTCAAAAATCAATGTCTTAAATGAATGAATTTGCAATTCGTTCTAATTTTTGCTTTACCTGCACACTCGAAATTTTAAGTGATTTTCTTGGTTCGTACTTTTGGTACTCTATTTGACTGGTATTTGTATTCCAAATAATTATTTGCCCTGATGAGGATGGTATCCTTGATTAATACAGTTTTTAGCGTTAAAAGATGCAATGTCAGACTGTTGTCCCAGAGAAGGTAATAGAGACAAGAAGCTATTTTGGTGTCGGAAAGGAATTTAAAGTATTGCAGAATTACAGAATTGGTGTAAATGGAGGGGAACCTGAAAAAAATTTTTTTTTAAATCAAAGTGTTTAGCTGAGAAAATGAATACAAACCAGTTTTCCAATATCCTATGTGGCACAGACGTTGGGTGAAGAAGAAACTCTAGAAACACTTTATTATTTTTTTTTAGGTCACATTTTTAGGTTTTTTTTTTTTTTTTTTTAATCAGTTGGCTGTAACTGTACTTTGAATATTGACAGGGATAGCAAAGACACTACAATAAATAACACAACCTGGACAGTGCTAGAACATCTGGGATATATGGAAGCTATGATGTGGGTTATCAGTAGCAGAGGGACTTAGAAAACCCGGATATTTCATGATTACTTGGTAAACATGGAGGGGAAACTTAGGTAGATAATCCAGATATCTCACGGAAGATTGAGGACCTGAGTGTTCCAAGTACGTTAACACACATACACGCTCTTTCTGTGTATGTGTGTGTGTGTGTATGTATGTATATAAATTTTTTTATTATTTCCAGTCTTCAGTGAATTTGAATTCAGTAAAATAATAGTACTAAGTTATACTGAAATCATTAACTAATTCAGAATGCGATTTAAGATGTTAAGATTCAAGTCACTTCTAAAATTTTGGACAGTTTATAATGTGATCAATTTATGTAGGAGACTTAGACATTCCTTGATACATACTAACATGAATTTATTTAAAATGTTTAGTCAAAGTGATAATTATAACAAACATGACAACAGCACAGGAGAAGAGATCTTAAAATGAAAACTGAAAACCGTCTCCTGCTTTACTTCTCACCCAGAGTCCCTTTCCCTAGAGGCAACTACTTTCTGCCATTTCTGTTTGGGGCCTTCAGCGTACTCTGTGTGTACAACCAGGCTTATTTTAAAATGTCTCACAACATCCATTGTTCTGTAAGTTCCTTTGTAAAAGTCAAAGATGTCAAGTGTACACATTTACACTTTTATCAAGTGTAAAATGTCTACCTCCAAACTCCTTTGTTCAAACTTTCTTGCTATTAGCTATGTGTATTTTTTACATTAAAAGCATATTAACTCACATGTTATATTAGAAAACAAGAGGAACTTTGGTGGGAAATTTCTGTAGATAGTTTATGAACAAATAGTAAAGATGTGGAGTGGTTGTAGAATGAGGCAGAAATTCTCTTATGGTTCATGTCCAAATAAGCAGATTTTGCTGTTTATTCAGTGAAATGACATCACCTTTCATTGGAAGTGTAAGGAGATACCACACATTAATTTGGATAATTAATATGAATAGTCTTTTGATTTGCACCTGAATGGGATACTCATTCCAATGTGATCTACCTAGTTAAGTGAGATTTAAGAAAAACTGTGTTCTTGGATATGCTATAAGACTGATGAATCACTGAACTCTTCCTCCAAATCTAATCATATACCATATGTTAATTAATTGAATTTAAATTTAAAAAATTTTAAAAAGCAAAAGGAAATATTCTGCTTTTTAAATTCCTGTTTTGATGAATAAAGGTGTTGCATTGTCTTGTCATGTGAGTTCCATACAAGACCAAACAATTTAATAATTTTTGTCTTAATGTCAAGGTGACCATGCTCTTCTGTGTGTCAGAATCAACAACATAGCAGTAGCTGTTGGAAAAGAAGCTAAACTTTACCTGTTCCAAGCCCAGGAATGGCTAAAGCTACAGGAGAGCAGTCATGGTTATAGTTGTGGTGAAAAATTATCCAAAGCTCAGTTGACAAGTGAGTATATCCTCTTTTCTTTGATCATTAGATCGGGTTTCTTTTTTTTCCCTCTTGAATGTTAAAATCTTTGTTTTCATACCAGCATGTTTCATGACACATCACACTGTGATGACATTTTGTCTAGAACATTTTAAGCTGAAGTTCTCCTTGATCAAAGGATAGAATGACTTTCCCCTCCCCTTGTTAAAATTTTGTGAAAAATATCCAGGTAATGTAAAAGGCATACTCTCCTTCATTCAGACTTCTTACAAGTCAGTCACATAATTCACACCAATATGGCAAATGTATTTTGGCCTAGGGGCAGCATAGAATGAGTAATAGCATTTGTTGAATGTTTATTATCTGCTAGCACTGAGCTAAGCACTAAATATGTATTATCTCACTTAATTGTATGATTTAGCCCAAGTGATGCCGTTTATTTGTTTTAAGATTTTATTTATTTATTTGAGAGAGAGAGAGAGATCATGAGAGGGGAGAGGTCACAAGGAGAAGCAGACTCCCCACCGAGCAGGGAGCCCATTGCAGGACTTGATCCCAGGACTCCAGGATCATGACCTGAGCCAAAAGCAGTTGCTTTTAACCAACTGACCCATCCAGGCATGTTCAAGTGATGCTGTTTTGCAACATGTTATTGGAACGTGGGATCTAGTCATAGGGTGACACAGTGTCATTTTAGGATGTATCGGCACCGCATCATTTGTAAACTTCTAGATTTGCTTCTGGAAAAGCTCTTTTATTATCTTAGTTGCCTCTATCTTTGAACCCCTCCATTCTCATCAGCACTATCCTAAGTATTAGCATGTATTATCCAGAATTAGTGAAACTCTTTCTAATTTCTATGGAAATGAAGGGCATATACCATGCTACCCATTGTACCTCTTGGAAGGTAATTGGTTGTAGGAATGTGAAGCACCCATGGAAAAAAAATAGGAATTATTCCTCTCCTCTCTTTCCCCCCTTTTTCCCCTACCATGTTCTGCATATCAGTGAGTCTGAATCTTCTTTTAATCTAGTCAAGTGAAACATTGCCATTTTCTGAACTTTCAGTCTTAGTCTCAGCAGCTCTCTGGGTCCCTCATAAGGCATCTAGCAGGAATAGGGATAAAAGGAGAAGCCCCCGGGGACCCTGGGTGTTCAGTTGGTTGAACATCTGACTCTTGTTTTCGACTGAGGTCATGATCTCAGGGTTGCAAGAGCGAGCCCCACACTGGGCTCTGTGCTCAGCATGGAGTCTGCTTGAGATTTTCTCTCTCCTTCTCCCTACTTCCCTCACCTCATGTACACTCTCTCTCTCTCAAGTAAATAAATCTTTTTTACAAAAAGGGTAGAAGCCACCTCTTGTGGGGATCTCTTATGTAGATTAATGAGACGACAATGACAGGATGCTGAATAAATCTTAAATGACTAGATTTAGGCATCAAGAGATGGTTTCATAAACTTATTTTCCCTCCCCTGATTTTCAGAACTTACCTGGGAAATTTGTCAAATGCTCATTATCAGTTGTCTTTTCCTTTCTATACCAATTTGGTCATCTAAATGTTCCACAGATGGGTAAAAAGTTGTGAACTTCCATTTCCACTTATGTCCGAAACCAGTTCATCATCTTGCCCTTCCAGACCTGGTCATCTCCCTCTTCTGGTGTTCCCTGTTTCAAGATGTCCGGTAAACAAGCTAGCGGAGTCTTCAACACTCCCTCTTTGACCTCTCTGTCCCCTTCTCATCTGTCAGTAAGTGACCTCTGAATATCTCTGGAATTCATCTGTTTTTCTGTGTCTCTGCCCCTACCATGTTATTCCAGGCTGTCGTAATCTTTTGCCTGTTGCAGTAGTCTCTTTCCTGGCCACGGCTGCCATGCCGGTGCCCCCCTTAACCAGAGCGATCTTTCTGAATAGCAGATTTGATCATGTCACATTCACTTCCTCACCACACCCAGAAATACTCCAGTCACTTTCTTTTGCACTTAGGACAAAGACAGATCTCCTTGACCTGATCAGCAAAGCTGTCATGGTGTAGCCGTTATTTACCCCCCAGTTCCATCCCATAGCAGTGTCCCCTCCTGGCTCATTTTCCCTGTAGGCTTGTTTTATTTCAGTGCTATCCAGGGCCTTTGCACAGACTTTTCCTCTGTTTGTTCTTCCTTCCCTCTTTGGCCCCTCTCTACACTAAGTTGACACTTGAGTTTTTATAGCTAGTTTTCTTCCATAGCACATATTATAGTTACCACTTTATAGCTTATGTATTTGTTATAAAATCAGTCAGAGCAGCAGGGCTCTTTCGGTCCACTCATTCACTTCCATTGCTTCGTGTACTAGACAAGGCCCTTGTGATGAATCGGGGACCAAAATATACTCTTTTGGCCCTTAAGGTTAGTGGGGGTGACAGAAATGAATCTGACCGATGTGAATAAATGCGAAATTACAATTGTGATTAAGTACTATGCATGTTAGTTACATGGTAGTATGAGAATGAAAATTTATAATACCCTAGTGCTTAGTTAAGCCTTTACTAAATGTTTGTAGGATGAATTGTCATAGAGCTTAGGGCTTGAAGGGTGTTTTTGTTTTTGTTTTATTTTAATTTCAGTATAGTTAATATGGTGTTATATTAGTTTCAGGTGTATAATATAGTTATTAAACAACTCTGTACATTGCTCAGTGCTCATCATGATAAATGTTCTCTTAATCCCCTTCAGCTTTTCCACCCATCCCTCCACCCATCTACCCTCTGGTAACCATCAGTTTGTTCTCTCTAGTTAAGAGTATGGTGTTTGTCTTTCCCTGACTGACTTTTTTCACTTGGTATAATCCCTAGATCCATCCATGTTTTTGCAAATGGAAGATTTCGTATGTATCACCTCTTCTTTATCCACTCATCTGTCAATGGACACTTGGGCCACTTCCATCTTTTGGCTATTGTAAATAATGCTGCAGTAAACATAGGGGTTTGTATATCTTTTCAGATTAATGTTTTTGTATTCTTTGGGTAAATACACAGTAGCGAAATCACTGGCTCATATGGTATTTCTATTTTTAATTTTTTGAGCAGCCTCCATATTGTTTTCCACAGTGGCTGGATCAGTGTGCATTCCCAGCAACTGCACTGAGGGCTCCTTTTTCTCCACATCCTCGCCAACCGTTGTTACTTCTTGTGTTTTTTATTTTAACCATTCTGACAGATGTGAGGTGATATCTCAGTGTGGTTTTGATTTGCATTTCCCTGATGATGAGTGATGTTAAACATCTTTTGATTTGTCTGTTGGCCTTCTGTATGTCTTCTTTGGAGAAATGTCAGTTTATGTCTTCTACCCATTTTTTAATGTATTATTTGTGGTTTTTTTGGTGTTGAGTTGTATAAGTTCTTTATATGTTTTGGATATTAACCTTTTATCAGATATGTCATTTGCAACTATCTTCTCCCCTGTTGTCTTCCTGTTTTATTGATTGTTTCCTTCACTGTGCAGAAGCTTTTTATTTTGATGTAGTCTCAATAATCTATTTTTGCTTTTATTTTCCTTGCCTCAGGAGACATATCTAGAAAAGGTATACAGCTGAGGTCAGAAAAATTACTGTCTGTGCTCTCTTCAAGGATTTTTATGGTTTCAGTTCTCACATTTAGGTCTTTAATCCATTTTGAGTTGTTTTTTTGTGTATGTGTATGGTATAAGAGAGTGGTCCAGTTTCATTTTTTTTGGATGTAGCTGTCCAGTTTTTCTAACACCATTCATGGAAGAGATTGAGGGGGTTTTTTTGGTTGCTAGTTTGATTGCTTTATATTTGGTCTTTTTCTTCCAGTAAAAACTTAGCAGGCAATTTAAAGCTTTGAGCTGTAGGAACTGATTTAGTTTTTTTGTTACCTGGTTAATGTTATACACTATACACTTGCAAAAACATAATTTTTGTATCAGTCATATACCTTCAGTCACAGACTTTAGGTGTACGGGGAGAGCACGGTGCAGTGGAAAGACGTCTAAACTGAGAATCACTGCTTGTTTTCTTCGAGCCTCACCTTACCTATTCATACAGCAAGAAGGTTGGATAAGTTTTCATTAAGGTTCCTAAAAGTCATAAACTGCTGTGATTCTAATTACAACTTTTTAGGATGTTGCATATTTATAAAGCTACAACTTCCAAAACTTCTTGCAGTTGTTTCTTAAACTATTTTCCCTCTTCTCTATTCTTCTTCTGTTGAGTGCAAGGATATTCTTTGGAATTACTGGAATGGAAGATCTCAGGAAATAGGCGTTTGTGCAGAATGAAGATTGTTTTGTTAAATTTGGGGACCTGAACTAAATTAAGTACTGGTGAGATATATATATATATATAGCTTTCTGCAAATATCATCAACTCTTTTCCCAGCAATAGAAGCCAAGTCTTAAGAAATATCCTCCAACTTTTACATATTAGTTGTCATATTTATACTATGTTATTATACAGGTGCATTGAAACAGAAAGCATATCCCTAAATTCATGACAGTGTAGTGGTACCACATATTTTTAAATAATTTCTTATAGAAATAATTCTCATTTCCTGGCCATTAATGTGGCAGAATTAAGAGCCTTTCACCTACTTGGTAATGAGTTCATTAATTATGCCAAATTCCTATGTAAAATCTTACTGCTGCTATGAAACTATGAGAAGACTAAGACAGATATGAAAAGACAAAGACAGATTTGAAAAATTCTGTGGTGTCAAATGTTGCTTGTGAGTATACATTCCCTCAAATTAGTGTTTGAGAAATTATTTTTCAGTCTTCCTTTTCCTCTTTCAGTAAAGCTATACTACACCAGATTTTTTTAAAAATGATAACTGTTTTATAGGTTTTTAAAGCAAGCAAATGAGACAGTTAAAAACACTGAAAATTATGACATTATATAAAAAAATTTAACAAGGAAATTCAGGTTACAAAAGCTAAATATTTTGCTTATAAAACATTTTTAGTATTGTCTTTGTATACCATATGCAGAATAATTCCTTTTGTACGTTTAATGTATTTTATAAATCATTTAAAGGTGTTAGCATTTTATTATTCTGTGTATTTTCTTTTATAACACCATTCTTTGTAATTCAAGTTTTGTTAATATGTGAGATACTAATTACATCAGCATGGAATATGCATGCTTTGTGCTAATCTTTTGTCTCAAAAACAATGAACGTACAGTTTTGTCAAGATGCTTGTTTCCTAGGCTTCCTAAAAAAGGCCACAAGGCCAAAAAACCGAAGGCCAATATCATTTTTTGAAGCACACTTTTGTTTTTATTTTATATAAATCTGCATAATTGAAAATGAGACATTCAAAAGTATATTGGTGAAAAATACAATGGTTAATTTTTGTGTTGTTTTATCTAAGAAAAAAATGCAAGTGATAATGATAAAATGGAATGTTTCAGACCCTTTATGTTATAAGGTCCAGATTATGTAATTGGGAGCTGCACATTTCAAAAGCCTAATTTCTGAGCCACTATTGGTCATATATTAAATTCTTATTAAATGTCTTCAAATATTTAACAGAAACTAGAGTCTTTGCTACATTTTTCAAGAAGCTATACAATAAATAAATAAACCAAAAACAAAAGTATAAATGTCAGCTAAATTAAAATAGCCCAAAAGACAATGCTGAGGCATTGTTAATAAAAATCATCTTGTCCGCTTTAACTATTGTTAATGAAATTCTCAGTTGTAAAGTCTAAGTCCTCAAAATGTGAATCCTGACTAGATAAATGTGTATCTCATTTATAAAGATAACTTAAAAATAGCATTTTTTAAAATTTTACCCGCAAAGTCTCCAATCATACAGATGAGTTGGAAGTGTCGTACAACTAACATGAGTGTATCCTTTGCTTAGGTTCAGTAATTGTTAATATTTTGTTACATTTGTTTTATATTCGTATGTGTGTGATTTTTGGTTTTAATCAAGGCATAGTAAAATAGGCCGTGGGTGTCATGAGCACTTCTTTATAACAACAATTCCATCATGACACCTAAGAAAATGAGTAACTTCATAATGTTCCCATACAAATCCCCATGTTTATCTCAGGAAGTGTCTTTTGTTTATTAAAAAGCATTTTTTTTCTTTATTGAGAAAAAGATCAAGACTAGCTGACATGCTGTGGGGAGTTGGGAACTGGGCGCATCGTAATCTTATATTTTAAGAATATTCTACTTTGGGGGAAAAAGAAGAATACTTTGTAGAGAATCAGATTCTTTATTTGGATTTTCATATACTGTCTCATTTGCTTCTCACAAGATCTCTGAGTTAAGTCAGGTATCTGAATTTTACTGCTGAAGAAACACATCTCGAGAGGGTAAGCAATTTCTTTGCTGAGTTACAAGGTTATTAAGTAACATCACCAAGATGTCTTCTAACTCTTCTCTTCTTTTTATTATACATAGCGCTTAAGACACTACTATCCTACAGCTTCATGGTGGTGTTCGTGAATGCCTCTTAAGTCAGAATCATAGTTTCAGATTTGGGCGGCATCTTAGACATCATTAAGTGTTTCTCAAAGGGGGTGCTCTTGGCATTTTGGGCAGAACAAGTTTTTATTGTATGAAACTTTACCTTGGATTGCATGAGGCTTAGCACAGCCTCCCTCCAAGGACCTTCTCAACTATTTTGACTACAGAACTGTCCCTGTACATTTTCAAATGTATTGGAGGGCAGCAGGACTACCCTGGTTTAAGAGCCATTTATTAGTATAACTACCTTGTTTTAAAGAAAGAAAAAGGAGAATCAATCTTTATTCAGCAATTACCGTAGGACAGGTATCGTGGTAAGTGACTCATATAACTTAGTCCTTCCATCAGCTCTTTGCTCTAAGGATTCATTCTACAGATGAAAAAGTATCATAACGTATAACTTAAGTTTACACCAAAGGTAAGTATTGGAGCCAGGATTCAAACACAGATCTGTGTGATGCCAACATTCATGAGCATCCCCCTCCCCCCACTGTATAGACCTGACCCAGTAGAACAACTCTGATATTCTGGTCATTTCTACTCTTCTCCTTTCAGTACCTTTTTAAAGAATAATCAATGAGAAAAAGATTTTGGAAAATCTTTTGAAGGTATTTGTGGGTCATTGTTTTTAGATCTAATGATTCTCTGAATTGAATGTTCCATTTTAATTTTAACTCAAATATAATTTTCAAAAATGTCACTGCAGTTGTTACACAGCATTGTGAAGTTACTTAATGCCTCAGAATTGTATACTTCAACGTGGTTAAAATGGTAACTTTTGTGTTTATGTATATTTCCTCACAATAAAAAATTCTTAATGTTACTAATCCACTTGGAAACTTTAAAATTTAAAATTCATATTCAAAATTTCATTGAAACCATTCTGCTCATTTGTGGTGTTTCACAGTACCTCTGTAGTGATTCCTTTGGTTAAGATACATTATTCTTACCTGCCTTAAGGTTTACAGGCCTTATTTCAGTACTACACCGGGGCTTCGGTTTTCAAGGTAGTAGGAACAAAACAAAAGAATTCTAATTTGATGGCTGAAACAATGAGTACGTTTGAGAATTTTGCTTTCAAAGTGCTATTTTCTTTCTTTTTTAAAGTGACCATGAATCAGACTGAACATAATCTGACCGTGTCCCAGATTCCATATCCACAAACATGGCACGTGTTTTATGCAGACAAGTATACGTGCAAAGATGACAGTGAGAATTCTCAGGCGGAAGATATCCCATTTGAAATGATGTTACTAAACCCGGATGCCGAAGGGAATCCATTTGATCATTTTAGTGCTGGAGAATCTGGTAAGAATATATACTTAAGGGTATATCCTAAATATAGAAAAAAGCCTGTGCACTAATATCTCCATTTTATGTTTTTTGAGTATTAAAAATTAAAAACAAGTGTCCCAACAGTAGGCAGATGGTAAGTGAATCCTCTTATAGCATTTTATTTTATTTATTTTTAAAATTCTGTTTATTTATTTGACAGACAGAGATCACAAGTAGGCAGAGAGGCAGGTAGAGAGAGACGGGGGAAGCAGGCTCCCTGCTGAGCAGAGAGCCCAATGTGGGACTCGAACCCAGGACCCTGAGATCATGACCTGAGCTGAAGGCAGAGGCTTAACCCACTGAGCCAACCAGCTGTCCCCTCTTATAGCATTTTAATAGCCATACTATTAAGTTAGAAAAGCAGAACACTAAGTATTATATTTTATGATTTCAACTATGTTAAAAAATGCAGAGAATTGAGAAAGAAGTGTAAAAATACTAATAGATTATTTCTGTATTTTGGGTAGTAGAATTACGGATTTTTAGGTTTTTTTTCCCCCATGCATTTTAAACCTTTTTGTTATTTTTATGATAACCTAGTTATCATAAAACAGAAAAATGCCAATAAATTGAGCAACCTGAATTGGTAAATGAATTTTTAAGTGAGGTGGAAACCACTATTTTGTATGGCTGTCCTTTCACCAAGTTGTTTAAAGAGATTAGGGATTGCCTGCATGGGAGCTTGCAACCATTTTAGGAATGATCAGAGTTTTATAATGTTTTCCAAAATCTGATTTACTCCTATAAAATATTTCATCAAATTTTTGGTTGACTGCCTGTTGCCCTACAGAAGTAAGTTTCCTAGCCTGAAGAGAAATAAATGACTTCTTGTGATTAATGAAAAACATGCTATACAGTATTATAGCAGATATGTAAATTTACATGTCAGAATAAAGACTAAGATTGTAGGACAGCTATCAAAAGGATAAGGAGTTTACTTCTTAATGATTACCCATTTGGAAGAATCAATCTGCTTAGAGAAAAATTCAATCCCATTAAATCTCATTGGCCATCAAGGTGAGTGGGTGCAGGTAGAAGAAATTGAGGCTATATTAGATGAAACCGATTGTTTAGTTCAAAGTGTAAATTGCCACAGCTAGAAATGTAACTCAAGGAACATGTCTTATGGACAGTAGGTTACCAGTAACTTATGAAGAGATAAATTTATTTTTATGTCTTATAGTCTGAAAAAATACTTACATAGTGACAGACTGGAGAGACCAACATTTTTAAATAGTTAAGTTTAAAAGTTCTTTCTGTGAAGAAAATGACAGAAGAGTAAGCTACTTAAATTATTTTTGAATGCAAACGAACTTAAGGGTAAAATTTTACGGGGCGCCTGGGTGGCTCAGTGGGTTAAGCCTCTGCCTTCGGCTCAGGTCATGATTTCAGGGTCCTGGGATTGAGCCCCACATCAGGCTCTCTGCTCAGCAGGGAGCCTGCTTCCTCCCCCACGCCCCACCTGCCTCTCTGCCTACTTGTGATCTCTGTCAAATAAATAAATAAAATATTTTTTTAAAAAAAGGGTTGAATTTTACTTAATAGTATTTTGGATCAGTATGGTTCATTATTGGATGTCAATTCAGTCATACCATTTCTTTTATCATCATCATTATTATTATTATTTTAGAGCAGGGAGGGCGGGAGGAAGAGGCAGAGGGAGAATCCCAAGCAGGCTCCAAGCCACCAGCACAGAGCCCAACTCAGGGCTTGATCTTGTGACCCTGAGATCATGACCTGACCTAAATCAAGAGTCAGATGCTTAACCAACTGAGCCACCGAGGGGCCCCATTTTTTTTAAATTTTTATAAAAGATGTTGACATTTATTTTCTGTAGTTTAGAAAGGCATCAGTGAAACTCAGGTCTACTGACAGCACTGGATGACAGGTGAACTAAATTGCTTATAAGGTCCCTTTTAACCCTAACTCTCTATTATTTCATGTGACAGTTATTTCTAGGACTGGTAAAGGCTCAGCAGAAAGTACTACTCTGCTGCATTCACTGTGTGTGCAAACACCACGGCCTGTAGTGTAGTCAGTCCAAAAGCCCTTTCCCCTCTTGCCATCCTGGCAATTTGCATAGAGCTCAAGAGGTTGTTCTATTTATTGTGTGGATCCACAAGACTCTACTAGATCCTGATATACTTCTTTTTGCTTCCTTATCCAGGCTCCCATTTTTGGTCTCTTTCCTCATTCCCAATTAGACATCTGAACGTTGACTGTAGGCTATACAGTGATCACGTTTGTGGCCTGGGCCACTGAATGTCAGCCATACTTGCCCAGGCTCACCCTGAACCTTCCCCACATCTTCCGGTGTTTTTCCAGCATCCTGAATTATGGCTAGCTTTTTGTTTAGGGTTCCCGTGATCCATTCTAATTCAGCTCTTAGTCCGGACTCTTTTTGACCTTCCTTCTCCAAGACTGATTTTGATTTGATGCTCATGTTCATGTTTAAAATCTGTCTTTTTTTTTTTTTTTTTAAGATTTTTATTTATTTGAGAGAAAGAGAGAGCGCATGAGAGGAGAGAAGGTCAGAGGGGGAAGCAGACTCCCTGTGGAGCTGGGAGCCTGATGTGGGACTGGATCCTGATGCGGGACTCGATCCTGGGATTCCAGGATCATGACCTGAGCCAAAGGCAGTGGCTTAAGCAACTGAGCCACCCAGGTGCCCTAAAATCTGTTTTATACTAGAACGGAGAAATTTACATCGGTCATGTCACCAACAATATTTCAATGAGGGGCAAAACCTCTCTGCAGTATGTATGTTCATTAATCATGATTCTGTGCAAGGCTCATCTGTGGGAATGGATTATTAACAAGTACCAGCCATACTCAGAAGTCTTCATAGTTGTTAGGTGGCTGGCTTAATTCCTAGGCATCACATCATTTTCTTGATTAAGGTGCCTAAAACCCTTAAAATACGATTAATTTTACATTGCCATGACATATGATTAATTCTACATCAAAGTCTAAATCAGTGGTCCTCAGCCCATCACTCTGCATCTGGAGACCTTTAAAAACAAGACAGATGTGCACCTTCTGAGACTCAGATAGATTTGATTTTGGAGTGAAAGCCAGGCAACTGTGGTTTGTCGAAGCTCCTAGTTGATTCTAATGTGCAGAACCAGTGATCTAAAAGTCCATATGCCAGGCGCCTGGGTGGCTCAGTTGGTTTAGCATTTGCCCTTGGGTCAGGTCATAATCCCAGGGTTCTGGGATCTGAGTCCTGCATCGGGCTCCCTGCTCAGTGGGGAGTCTGCTCTCTCACTCTCTCTCAGATAAATGAATAAAATCATAAAAAAAAAAAGTCCATATCCCACATTGTTTTGGTATCGTACGAGTTTTACAGTAGAGCCTTGAGAGGGATTCCTCCTATTCTGTAGCCTCAGGTGTGGAATTTCTTTCCAGGGAATAATCCCCAGTTAGTTCATTTTAGAAACTTCTGCTCATTTGTTTAATTTTCTACCCTGAGTAAGGAAAATTGATTTGCTATGGTTTTTGCTGAGAATTGACGAGTAAGCTGTCTGTCTAAGGAACTTGAATTAAAATAACCTGGTGCATATAGCTGCAATTAATATTAAATGTTATTCTGGTTAGATTTTATAATTTGTTTTCTTTCAAACAAATTATGTATTTTGTATCTATCAAACTTTGGTTCATCTCATATTTTATAGATTGGTTTAGGTTTTAGAAAAACACCAAGGCAAGAATGTTGCCACTCGGCAAAATACTACATAGGAATATTGTGCTTTACGGTAGAAGATGTAAAACTGCTTCTTAATAAAATTAGAATCTTCATTGACTACATTTGTGCTCTTGTTAGAGACCAAAAGAAGTACTCAGAATCCCGAGAGTTAAAGCATTATCATCTAAAGTAGGCTGGTTTTCATCAGAATAATATTATAATACTATTCTCTGTAACATCTGCTATCTCACTTGTTTTTAAGATTCCAGATACTAGCTCTTGTAACATGTTAGAATGCTTTTGGCTTAAAGTAATGGAAAATTCTCATGCAAGCAGTATAGACAATAAGGAAATTACCTTACATAACAAGAATTCCCGGTTTACTCAGCGTCTTTCTACCCTCCTATCTTCTGACCATCAACTTTGTCCTTAGGCTAGCTCCCTCATGTTCAAGGGTAACCGCAGTTCACTCTTTGGGCATCACACCTAGATAATGACGAGATTCAGTATCTCTTTTTTGAGAGCAAGGAAACCTTTCTCAGAAACTCCGTCATTACATTTCACTGGCCAGAGCTGGGTCATATGCCCTTACTCTATGCCATCATAAGAGAAATGTAAGTGGAAGGGCTCCGAAGGAGGATAAGGATAGACTAATGTGTCAGAGTGAAGGGTTAGGCTTACCTCTTATTGGCAGGGCTGTTGGAATTTCTGTGATCAGTCGAGGCTAATGAGGATGTATCTTGAAACACTTGGAGGTGTTGTGGACTTTGGGGTAGGCAGGAGTGTTCCGGTGCTACTCCCCTGACCCAGCGACTCTCCTCTTTTCTTACCCTTTTTTCTCCTGTCATGTAGCTGGAGCTGAGTTTTTTGAAGCTATCCCGTAAGTTTTCTTCCTGCTGAGTTTTGCCAGTGCTGCTTCCTTTAAGCTCGCCTTAAAATCTGCGTACATGTTCCCTCATAACATACATGTGGGCCACCTCCTGCATGCTCATTCGACAGTATTTTTCTTCCTTGTGTACAGGTGAGAGTTAATACTTACCACCCACCTGTCTTAAAAGTAGAATCTAATTTCACAGTGAACAAATAGAGTTAGCTTTCTTGTGAATGGTGTGACAGAATGAGAAAGTTGATCACTGAAGAGAAAAGAACAGACTTCTTTTTTCTAGAGGGGATTTAGTTAAGAGAACAGTGCGTGCAGAATCAGCATTTTACCTTTAGACTGTCTCGTGGACAGAAACAAGGTAAGAGTAACGACGAATGAAGTACAGAACCCAGATGTCCTGAGCTAGTTCAAGTTACCTAACGTGTTATCTGAATGAAATGATTTGTTGCTTATAATGTTGGCTTTTCTGGAGGGAGCATTTAATATTGAATAATCCTGTTTTGTGCTGCTGACATATGTCTTCTTTTCACAAGTACTTTCTACATTATTCTGAATACTCAGTAAATAGTCTGCAGATTTTCTTTTTGTCGTGGATTTGTAACCTGATGGAGTCTGAAACTTGATCTTGTAATAGATACTCTGTAAAGTATTTTAAGTAAATAAAACAAAAGAATGCCATATTTAATTCTTTATACTAAGAAGGGAAAATAAAAACTAAGATTCAAAAGACAGGACCTCATAAAGAATTTTTACTGTAGTGATAACACATTTAGCGTGTTTTCTGTCCTGTTCCATTACTATCGTAATCCCAGGCTTATTGTCCCATTATTTCTAAAGCTGGAATACCCTTGATGTAAGGAGTTTAAAAAGAAATTATGCCTTTTCAGTTATTTGATCTTCTCTTCCTGAAGTCCAAACATGCTTTTTCACCTGCATGAGAGAGGAACTAGCGACATTTATATACGCAGAGCAGGAGAGACACCCAGTGGCTGAAACACTACTTCTCTCTTTCTCTCTTATTCCTACTCATTCTAAAAACGTGACTGAGATGGAAACGTCTATTGACTGTTTTTCCTACTATTTGCATCTTCTGGATTGCTTTTTTCAAAATGGATACTCCCTTCTCTGCCTGTTGATTGGAGTTTACCTCGGGTAGGAAACCGGAGCAGATTCTGAGCCCACGATCGGATGGGAGTGATCACAGTTCTGACTGTTTGTCCCCAGAATCAGCAGACACAGCTCCCCTCACAGCCACCCGCACTGCACTCCGGTGTGTTTACGTACAATATCCGGTGTATTTAGATACAATATAAAATCTTCATATTAGGAACTAGCAGTAGATGTAACCAAGTCAATGTACAGAAGCTATTGAACTCAAAGCTAGCCCTCTAGTTCATGATAAAAATTTTCTGAAATTTCTGAAAAATGAAGACACAGTCAAGAGATTCCAGGTAATGCAGAAAAAGGGGGTGTTTATCTTGTGGTTGCATGAACACTGTACCGGAAAACTGTAAGTAGGAACTAGAGGCTGCTTAACGACTGGCACCGTTTCTAACATAAAGTCTGCTCATTTGCTTTGCTTTGTTCTTGTCTTTACCAACCAGCTCTCTTTGCTTATTTGAAATTCCTGTTTACTCAACATATTTATTTCACTGTGGCCTGATCTGACATCTTTGGCCTGTCCCAGTGTCCGCTCCTTTCAACTTCAGTTTCTATTGCCTGATTCTTTCCGTGTTTTGTGGTTTCATTTCCTGAGAGAATGTGATTAGCCTGACTTATCTTTGAGAACCAAATTAGTCTGGTGGCCTTTGGCTCGTCTTCGGGTTGGTGGACGTTTGATTAGGTATTACAGTTTCAGTCCGCTGGGAATGGAGTCTCATGGTCTCCGTAGGATTTCCTCTTTGACAGGAGCTGACAGTTTTCTTCAGGAGGGGACTCTGGTTGTAACAGGTATTTTGAAGCTTTGTCCAACTGGAAATGTAAGGTCATGGTACATTCCAGAGCTGTTTTTGCATCAGAATCACCTGATGGGCTTATTAAAACACAGCTTGCTACTCCCCTCTCCCAGAATTTCTGATAAAGTAGATCAGGGATAAGGCCCAAGAATGTGCATTTCTATTTCCAACAAGTTCCTTGCTGCTGGCGCAGGGATTGCACTTTGAGAACCGTTGTCAGGGTGTAAACTATTGTTGACCAAATCTGTTCCTAAATTTCACACTAAAGTAATCCCCTTTGGGGGTAAAAAGTATGTCTAACTGCTAAAATCCTGGTTTTAATTTACTGTTTTCTAACGAATCTGTGCTCTTGTGGTTAGTCTTCAGGCTTATCCCCCGACCACGATGATTTTTTCTAGATTGACTTTACCTTCTTTAGTTTAATCCGTCTTCTTAGATTTAAATCTTTATCCCAAAGTAAAAAATTGTTTACATTTTAACAGTTTCCCTTTTTTTTCCATACACAAGTGAATGCAATGACTTCAATTAAAATGCCAAGTTCTAGAAATATATTGAGGGAAGATTTGAAAACAGCCCCACACTGTCACTGGCTCTGTTGTACTGAAGCAAACTCCTTTCTTCTCTTCACAGGGTTACATGAGTTCTTTTTCCTCCTAGTCCTGGTGTACTTTGTGCTTGCTTGCATTTACGCTCAGTCGTTGTGGCAGGCTATCAGGAAAGGAGGGCCCATGCACGTGATCCTCAAGGTTCTGACAACCGCGCTGCTACTGCAAGCCGCCTCGGCTTTAGCTAATTATATTCATTTCTCCAGGTAACTCGAAACCACTAAAGCTGTGTTCACCATTACATCTAATTAATCCTAATTAGTTCGCCAAAATTATGCTTGCTTTGATTATGAACCATCTTTGCGCATTTGTAATTTACACTAATACTCTTCTCTTCAATTCCTCAGTTACTCCAAAGATGGAATAGGGATACCTTTTATGGGAACTTTGGCAGAATGTGAGTATCTTTCTGAGATGTGTTTTTGAAACCTAAACTTGCTATCTGCTTCTGGCTTGTTTTGCTGTTTTTGTAAATTATGTTCATCCCGATACAGTTTTTCTATCCAGGGTTGGGTACAGTTCAGCCCAGATGAAAAGATTCTGTTCCCATCTGTCCCGTTTAGTTTCTTCTTGATAATACGTAACGAGTGTCATTCTTCATTGTTTCGGGAGCATATTTATATGCTTCTCTCAGTTTACCTCAATAAAAACTCAGTGAAGTAGAGACATTTATCCCTAGTTTGCACGTAAAGAATCTGGGGTCATTGACACGAAGCACATTTCCCAATGTCAGCAGCTGTTACGTGGGAGAGACCAAACTCCGAGCCAAGTGTTCTGAGCCCAAAGCTGAAGGTGGTTTTCCTACTTTCATCCCTTTTTTGACTCTTCCTATTTCTGACACAGAAATAAAAGCCAGAGAGTATATGATACCTATCATTGAATTGACCTCACAGCTTCGTTCTTTTATTTATATGAAGAACTTTGATGATGTAATTTTCCAACTAAGCATGATGGGGAAAATATTTAAAAGTTCCCATAATCTATATAATGCCATTCTTAGTCCCCGAAAAATAGTCAAGATTTGCTCTAAAAAAGGAGATTCTGATTATGAAAACCATTCTATGATTTACTTTTTGAAATATTTCCATAATTCTCTTCTAGTCTCATCTCTCTTTATTTAATAGAGTAGCTCATGGTCATCTCTGTAATGATCTCAGATCCATTTATCATCTTGCTGCCTATTTTAAGATTTTAAACCTCTTAGAACCTTTGTTTTCCTACTGCAAAGGATGTGTACTAGTCACCTCTTCGACGCGAATAAGAGTTGCTTCTCCTTTTTAAACAGTATTGAGAGCTCTGGTGTCTCCTGCTCTTGTCTCTTTGGTCACTCAGGATGTTTAAGAGAACCATAGAATTTTATTTTATTTTTTTTTTTTTTTAAGATTTTTTTTTTTTTTTTTGACAGACAGATCACAAGTAGGCAGAGAGGCAGGCAGAGAGAGAGAGGAAGGAGGAGGCAGGTTCCCTGCTGAGCAGAGAGCCCGATGCGGGACTCGATCCCAGGACCCTGAGATCATGACCTGAGCCGAATGCAGAGGCTTTAACCACTGAGCCACCCAGGCGCCCCGAATTTTATTTTATTTTTTAAGATTTTATTTATTTATTTGAGAGAGAGAGAGAGCTTGAGAGGGGAGAAGGTCAGAGGGAGAAGCAGATGCCCCATGGACCTGGGAGCCCAATGTGGGACTTGATCCCAGGACTCCAGGATCATGACCTGAGCCAAAGGCAGCCGCTTAACCAACTGAGCCACCCAGGCACCTGAGAACCATAGAATTTTAAAGCTGAACAGAACCTGAGAAATAATCTAGCTTATGCATTTTGAAAGGCAAAGGACACAAAAGCCCATCAGTGGAAGCCAGTACTAAAATCAAGGTCTTTTGCATTTTTGTCAGTGCTGCTGCGTACAGAATAGTGTTTGAGGCTGTCTGGCATCTTCACTGCAGGTTAAAAGTTAAAAGGTTTCTTTTCATTAAACTAACAATAAATGTTGATTAATTTTGGTGTTCCAACAACAGTTTTGATTATTAAATGATTAAAAGTTCGAGATTGTTAATAAAATAACAAAGGATGGGATTTTTGTGTGATGTGTATATTTTATCTACAACTGGGTATTTTTCAGTGACAGATAAGCAGATAGATAAGCAGATAGATAACTATACTTACAGTTACGGTATTCTGTAAGTGTGTGTCTTAGTATACAAAGGAAAGAGCCAGAACATCAGGGTTTTTCCCTCCAGGTATTTGTTTTTGCTAATTAGCAACTTATGCAGGACTATTGCTTTGAGTGAGTTCTTTAAGTAACTGAATATGTATTTGTGAGATGTTTAATAAAATAATTGGCATCACAGTCATTTACACCCTGTGATGAAAGAAAATTGTGCTTGATCTGAAAGGCCATGACATTTTGTACCATTCAAACGTAGTAACAATTCGTTATCAGAATTCACTGTTACAAATATATGAGCATAAATGTCGAGTATCCAGTTTTAATTTGGATGGCAGAGAAGAGGGAAAATGGTAAAAATATATGTGAAAAGGTGCATCATTAAAAGGCTTTAAGCTTGTAGCTTTTTAGTATATTATAGTACAGCTACTTTTACCTGTTTCTGCAAAAATAGCTTTATATAAAAGAAGTGAAAGTCGTAGATGTCCAAGGTACTGCTGACAATTTGAAGAAAGTTTCACTTTGTTAAATTTTAATCACGTTTATTCCAAAATCCACATCAGAATACCCTATGAGAAAGTTATCATCTTTTTTAAATCAATAAATACTAGCTTCCAAAATAAAAATGCGTGGAACTTAGAGTATTTATAGAGTGTTGTCTTTTCCAAATGGGGAACTGGATGGGTGGTCTTGTTGCCTCATTTTTTAAAGTGGCAGCCTTCCCTGCAGTGTCAGTGATGGCCACGTGGTGGCGCATCACACTAACGCACGGAGCGTTTCATTCATCTCCGGGACTCTTTTAACACTAAAGCCAACAAATTTGAATGTTACAGCAGCCATGTGTTTTATAGTCATGCTATTTCTTATTAATAATTTTAGAAAATAAGTCACATTATAGAGTTCAACCATCAAAAAATAATTAACGACCTGGAAATGAAGGCACTAGTATTCTCCACATTGCAGAAATTACTTTTAAAATGTGTTTATTTTAATGAGCAGTCAGTTATAGAGAACAGTATTATATAGTAAGAAAAGCTAAGAAAATGGGAAACACAAGGAGATTTAAAGTTGGTCTTAATAAAGATATACATATAGAGAGAGAGGGAATATTGCCATTGTTCTATTTTCAGAAATGTTTACAAACTTAGTGGCAAAATTTTAATTTTTAGAGTTCTACTTGAATATTTCTTATTATTGAATTTTATCAACTTTTCTTTGAAAATGCCTAACTTTTTGTGTTTAAAAAGATAATTATATTCTCAATGCTAAAAGGACCTAATCCTTTGTATTATGAAAACTTGGTTGACTTTGGTTTTCATTTCCCATTAGTTTTTGACATTGCATCCCAAATTCAAATGTTATACCTGCTTCTGAGTCTGTGCATGGGTTGGACGATAGTCAGAATGAAGAAGTCTCAAAGCAGGCCTCTCCAGTGGGATTCAACTCCCGCATCCACAGGCATTGCAGTATTCATTGTCGTGACACAGGTGAGTGTCGATGCTCAGTGTTTGTACTTTGAATATACAGAAATGTAACCTTGAACATAACCTCATTTGAAAAGTGAAATGGGATCCATGAGGAATTTTGTCATTTTAAAGCACGAATTTAAAGAGTGATAGATCAAATAACGTACAATATTGAGTGCTAGTATATGTCGATTGCAGAATTTAGTTATAATTTACTTGACTTTGAGCTTTCAATCAGCTTATTTTAAATGTGCAGAATGCTTAATATTAAGATAGATTCTCATTTCCTACTTAATAGCTTTCTTTCATAATTTCTAACACATAGTAAGAACTTAACATTTTAAATGAGTGCATCAGTGAATTTGAGATTCATCTATGGGCAAGGATTTTTAGGTCCAGTTCTGTTACTTTATACATGAAAGAATTCAAAGGAAATCTGAGGTTAATGAAAAAGCAAAAAACAGAATAAGAATGAATGGGATCTAGTTTTTGAAAACAAGTCCAAGATCGAATTTAGTCTTTTAGAAAATTTAGTCCTCTTAGCCCTTTTTTTGTTTGTTTTCTTCTATTCTAGGCTCTCCATATGCCTATGGGCAATGGATTTTATAAAAATTATTAAGGAAAATGCAACCAAAAATTTATACTGAGTTTGTGACCATCATTAGCTGTAGATGAAAATGAAATCTGTACCTGGGCTCTACAAAGGACATTATAATCTAAATCTTAATACATTAAATAAAGTGAAAAATTCATTAACTAAGGATAAGTCCTGTGCTTTGCTCATCTTTATATTCATAGTATGTATTTAGTATAGTAGGTGCCAAGTGAAATAGGTGTATTGAATTTCATGACTGAGTTAAAAAGAGACCATGTCACAAGTGATGATATTTAGATAGGAAATAATGCCTTTCTAAGGCACTGTGTTAGAAGTGATTAAAATAAGGGCAAGATTAGAAACTTACTGTTTCTAATCTAGGGCTTATGGAGAGTAGTGTTAATAACATCGAATTCTCATTTCTCAATAAAGAGCTTTCTTAAGAAATGAACTTTCATTATTTCATTATAATTTTAATCCATTATCATAGACAAATATGAATTGAGAACTGACAAAATGACACTGCTCTAGAGCTTATGTAAGCTCTGGTTCTCAGCAACCACCCAGATGAGGTACACATGACTACGTAAATACATGCATATTTTCCACAGGTCACATGTTAGTATACACATCTGAAAATGTAGAGTTTGAATATATAAAAATGTGAATCATGGCAACTGATGGGGTTTTGTTGGCTTTATTGAGGTATAATTAACAAAAAGAAATTTTACATGTTAAGATACACAACTTGATGTTTTGATATATGTATACATTGTGAAATGATCCCCCAAATCAGACTAGTTAACATATCCATCACCTCACATAGATACCAGGAGATAGTAGTTGTACAATAGCACTTCTTCATTGCAAAAGATAAGTTTAGAAATAGAGGTTAAGGAATTGTATGGATATAGTAACTCGGGGAAGTGAAGAACTAACACTTGAGTAATGGAGAGCAAATATTCAGCCTAAGAAGGAAATGCGTGTGTGCAGCATGGCCGAGGAGCCCAGCAGTCCAGCATGGTAGTAGGTCTAAGACCAGGATAGATGATCTGAGAGTAAGAAGAGGAAGGGGTTGCTGACAAACCTTGTAAAGTCTAAGAATTGGATTTAATGACTGAGTTTCGATCTGAATTCTTCGGAAGCCACTGAAAACCATTCTGAGAGTTGAGTTGGCAAATGAAGGAAACACAGGGCTACTGATACTTGTGATGGCAAAAACATCATAGTAATTTGTGATTGACGTTTGGAAAAGATGGAAGGAAAGTGTTTCTACTGAATAGCAATAAATAGGAGAGCTAATGAGGAATTGCTGAGCTTTCTACTGTAATGGTAACGATATGGGGGGGTCAGCAAACAAAAGGATGAGTAACTGCCGGTTATGCATGAATAGCCTGGGTACCTACAGTGAATGTTAAAGCTATACTCTCCTTTAGGGCACCTGGCTGGTTCGGTCAGTTGAAGATCCGACTCTTGAGTTTGGCTCAGGTCATGATGTCAGGGTCCTCGGTTTGAGCCCCCTGTTGGGCTCCACACTGGATGTGGAACCTGCTCGGGGTTTCTCTCTCCCTCTCCCTCTGCCCCTTTCCACTGCTTGTATATGTGCATGTACTCATTCTCTCTCTCAACTCAAAAAAAAAAAAAAAACAAAACATAGTCTCTCCCTCTCTCTCTCCCCTTTATACTGGGGAGTGACATCTAAAATCAACAATTCTGACTTACTCACTTCTGGATTACAGAAGATACCAAGATAATTTCAAAGTTATCCTGAGATGATGGGCTTGAATACATTTTTGTATTCAAATTTCAAACTTTTATATTCAAAATTCAAAATGAATTTTGATTCCTAATATGGTGCTGAAGGAAGAGAGATTTAGAAGAAAGTTTAGGTTTATTCTCTTAATGTTTTAACTTCTTTTCTTTTTTTTTTTTTTTAAGATTTTATTTATTTATTTGACACAGAGAAAGAGAGATCACAAGTAGGCGGAGAAGCAGGCAGAGAGAGAGAGAGGAGGAAGCAGGTTCCCCAGTGAGCAGAGAGCCAGATGTGAGGCTCGATCCCAGGACCTCGGGATCATGACCTGAGCAGATACTTAACCCACTGAGCCACCCAGGCACCCCAGCTTATTTTCATCTTTAGAGATGTTTTACTTGAATTGTGGTCACAATTGCATTTTTTATCTTTTGTATGTGATCTTTGATAAAAATCCCTGTTCTCTAGCTTAGGGGATCAGGGAGGATAAGTCTCTGCCTAATACCTGTGCTTTGTTAGTCAGCAACATTTATAGTCTGGTAAATCTTAGAACCTCTTAGGAATGTTTATATACTCTTTAAGGGAATGTTTGAAAAGAGTCGATCGACAAAGTACATATGAGTAGACAAGATTTTTTTTTCTCTAAATGTAATATTGTATTTTGCAGAGTATTTTGCTGCTATGGGAACAGTTCGAAGATACCAGTCCTCACAGCTACCATTCACATCACAACTTAGCAGGGATCTTGCTAATCATTTTAAGGATTTGCCTAGCGTTGTCATTAGGCTGTGGACTCTACCAGATCATCACAGTGGAGAGAAGCACGCTCAAAAGGGAGTTTTACATCACGTTTGCCAAAGTATGGGTTTGGGTAGAAAATGGCTTCTTCTGATTATCAACTTTGTTCTGCTGTTTTGGGAAGGTTAAGCAACCCCATGCTGATGTTGGTTAAGCTCTTCTGACACATTAGAGCACTAAGATATGCCCTTCATGTTCTTTAACTCATTTAATCTTTACAGCCTATGAGATGTAGATATTATTATCCCATTTTACAATACCTATGAAATAGTAGTTTCCGTGTAATCTTAGGTCAGTTTTGCCTGGGTCATACATAATTTCTTTATCAATAGGAATTTCACATTTTTTTCCTGTAGTATCAGAGTTTTTAAAAACATAAGTTAGAAAACAGTTTACATTTCTCAAAAAGCACTTATTAATTGAACTGTTACCATCAGAGTTAGGCAGTGTTTTCTAACCACGAGGAGCTCTCTGCAGCATAAGCAGATGAAGCGGGAGACTGAGGACATACTATGTTTCAGCCATTTCACCACCTCCGTGTGAGGTCACGTTGACTTTATTCCTCCTTTCTATGTCCTTCTTTTACAGGTGGGAATCTCAAAGCAAATTGAATTTTTTTTTTTCTCTACCCATTTAACAAAGGAAAAGATGAGAGAAGTCGGGGCAGTAATGTTGCAGGAGCCTCCCTCCCTAGAAGGTTCTGGTTCTCTGTCAGGTTGAGGGAATCTGTGTACCTTCATCCTGGTGCCTCAGAACAGCATTCAGATAAGCTGTTCCGTCAGCGGCCCCTTCCCTCCCCCACGAGAGTGCCCAGGGCTCTGCCTTCCAAGGTGGCTGTTTCAGAGCGCCGGGGTCCTGTCCCAGCCATCAGCATTTTAAAGCTGCTCGGGCAGCCCCAGGAACCCACGTCCGCTTTCTGTGTACCAGACAGGCAAGAAAATGCCGTTTCGCTTTTGAATTTTGCACAGCGACGGGAGTGCTTTTTGTTCGGAAAGATAACGTATATTTATGGTGTTTTAAAACTAAATTTCCTCTTTTGTTCTGAACTTTTTCTTGAACTTAAAAAAATTATTTTTATATGTGTTAATCTAACTTTTTAAATGGGTTCAAACATCTGAAAATATTTAAAAAGAAACATTTTTTACATCTCTCCCATCTACTCAGATATTATCTCCTTATATAATCACTGCTATTAATTCCTAACTTACCTTCCTAGAGAATTTTTAAAGATTCCTGTGTATTTCCTCCCTTATCTACACAAACAATAGCATGCTAAACACGTTTTTTGTTTTTTTTTTTAAGATTTATTTATTTATTTATTTATTTGACAGAAGTCACAAGTAGGCAGAGAGGCAGGCAGAGAGAGAGGAAGAGGAAGCAGGGTCCCTGTGGAGCAGAGAGCCCGATTTGGGCTCGATCCCAGGACCCTGGGATCATGACCCGAGCCAAAGGCAGAGGCTTAACTCACTGAGCCACCCAGATGCCCCTAAACACATTTTTTTTTAACATCTTATTTTTTTCCGTATCTTCAACATACTGAGCATCTCAACAGCTACTATTTTATTAACTTATTCTTTTACTTCAAATTTAATTTTGAAAAAGAAAATACATGGCTGCTCTTGGAAAAATAGAAAAGAGATGCTTGAAGAGTATAATGTTAAAAAGTATCCCATCCTTACTTGCCCAGTTCTGCTCTCATATGTTAACCCACAAACGGGCCACTCCTATTAGTCAGTGTTCTGGGTATTCTTACAGAATTTCTTTGTGTATCTCTACATGCAAATACGAATGTACATTCGTATTTTTTTCTTTTTATGGGAATATTATACATTTGTACCTTGCTTTTCTCAATTTTTAATGTTATATTAATGCATTTTCATGTTTAAATATTTAATATAATATATACAATGTAATATATTAAAATGTGTATATATAAGAGATTTATAAAATTTAAAGTCTGCGTTTGGTTAGAAATGAAACATTATCATAGCAATAGCAAATTTATTTTTACATTTTATTAGATAGAACTTTTAAAGACCAGTTGAGGTCAATCAGGACCTCCTAAAGAGGTTAGTAATGTTTTTTTATCTGGCACATTCTGGAAATAAACACACAGCTGTATTCATTTTACTTATTTGTCATTTGTTTCAGGGCTGTATCTTATGGTTTTTATGCCATCCAGGTCTTGCATGTATTTCTGTCATTTTTAGTGACTACCAAAGAGATAAGGTAAGTAATACACCTGATCCCAATAGTTTTTTATTGTCGTTATTAACAAATTATTAAAGTAGAAAAGCCCTATTTATCCACTTATCAGGTTTTCTGAGTTCTTTGAAACAAGATAATTGAACTGGTGAGTATATAAATAAAAACTTTGAAAGAAAAACATTCAATTTTAGTTAATTAAAAAATAATGAGAATCATTTTTATTATCTCAGCTTATTTTGTAACATTATTTTATAAATTTGTTCATGATCCATCTTTGTTAAGAACAATTGATTAAAATTTTTTACAACACAGTGGTTAAAGCCAGGATAGATTTGTGAAAAGTCAGCCCAATGGCTGCACCAGACGCAGACCAGAGTGCCATGCACAAGGGTGCCACACCTGATTGTGTAGCTGCCGCCGCCTTAGGTCAACGGCTCCGCCATCTCATCGTGCTCTGCCAGCCACCGCTCACAAGCAGTGCAGTGTGGCCTTGAACGCACAGATGGCTCTCGGGCCTGAGGTGTTCACAAAGGGTAAACAGGTAGGAAGGTAGTCTACAGAAATGAAGAAGCCACTTGAGAATTTTTGAGAGAGCTTTTAGAATACTCTTCAGGGTTCAGGTGAGACCTGCCGTACTCCTTCTACCAAATTAGCCCCGAACCTGGTTTTTCTTACCACCTTCTGTAGTGTGTGCACCCTGAGGGGAGAATGCTTTAGCAAACTGAATGTGTCTTATTTTGGAGTCTGTAAATAACTGTTCAATAAATTTTGCCTTTGAACGATGATAGTTCTGAATGTTAGTCGTATTTTCTTACTGAAAGTTTCTTTGATAAAACATGCCCATGTTAAAGACAGAGGACAGAGCGGGGTATGTATATATATGTTCCGTATGTAAGTGGGACGGATATAGGTTCATGATAAATTGAATGTAATTTGTCTATTTCCGCACGCAGTCAAAGCATTCCCTTTCTTTTCTTTCCAGGTTATTACAATAGGTGTTATCCTTTGCCAGTCTGTTTCCATGGTTATTCTCTACAGACTCTTTCTGTCCCACAGTCTATACTGGGAAGTTTCTTCACTTTCTTCAGTAACACTACCACTGACCATATCATCTGGACACAAAAGTCGGCCTCACTTCTGATACTTGATTTTCTTTAAAGGAAAAGTGAATTGATTTCAGAGTGCAATAAGGATCCAAATACAGTGACTTTTTTTTTTTTTCATACTTTTGCTATGAAAAACTGAACCCAGAAGGCAGAGCATGGTATTTATACAGCTGCATTTAAGCAGTAGCAAACTTCTTAAAAGGTAAAAAGGTAATAAATGAAATGCTTTGAAATACATAAACTTTCAAGAAAGTGTGTTGTTCTAAGGTGACTTATGCAATTTCTCTGTGGAAATTAAGATGAAAAAGAATTACATGATGTTTTGGTAAAAGATTCACCACTTGTAATGCTTCATCATCTTATATCAATAGTTAACTCAGGTTTGATAGTCTTATGCAAAGTAATCAGTTAAATGATTACTTGCTTGTACATATCTAAACTAACTTCAGTGACAAAATCAGTGTAATGCACTGGTTAAAAACTGCTTCTTTTTATGCTTTAAGGAAAATGCATTTCATATTGGAGTTTAAAGGAATTAAAAATGAAATTACTTCAGAATGTGAATATAAAATGTATTTATAGCTAAATGAGTAAGTTTTTCTTTATTTGTGTGTAGGGTTCTTCTCTATCTTCTTCTATCACTTTTTGGCTGTAGTTCAGGTTCTGGCTTGATTAGCAAAGGGTTTTTGACATATAATTTATGAAAAATAAAGCTTAGATACATTACTATTGGCTGTTCCTTATAAAGAGTTTTAATATCTGAGCACTTAGGTGAAGGGACAAGCAGGGTTACGTGTTTAAAAAGAAAGAAGAAAAACGTACTATGTGATATGGTACTAAAATTCTAATCCTGATATAATTCATTTCTCTTACATTGAATCCCCAATCATAATTAAGCCGTATACACAGATTAAATTAACAGAAGCATTTCACATAAATGTTGGTTTCAGTCATCAACTACCCATGAATTCCTGCCCAAGGATACTTAATCAGGATTAAATTTTCTATGAATAATTGAAAAACAAAATACTCACTGGATTTGTTATAATCCGTGTTGGCACTGGATTCTAAGTAGTTGCCATCTTGAATCCTTTGTAATAAAGCCATATTTTTTTGTGTATGTGATGCCCCAGTATTGAGTATGCTAGCGACAAAATACTCTATCAAGTGCCTGTTTAAAGAATTGCTAAACGGTTGTCAGTACCCGCTGTATAGAATGAGTATTCCCGTTGGTAGTCACTGACTGGAAACTACTCTGCCTGTCATGCTGTTCAGGCCTTTTCATCTTTACATCTGGCTTTTTTTTTTTTTTTTTTTTTATCTACTTCCAAAGGTATTACATTTTTAAGCAAGGAATGGTGCACTGACCTGGTAATTAAAGTCTTTAATGAAATAGTTAAAATAACACAGTATAACTTTTAAGTACTTATGGCTTCATCTTTGTTCTTACCTTACACCTAGTCTCAGTGGAAATGAAGAGTATTCTGTCTCATTTTAAAGGCAAAATATATATGTTCATGAGTAGCAAACTGACAGAGTGACAGAGGTCAGCCTGCTCATGAAATCATCCTTCTAACGGGTCTTTGTAAATTATTTAATAAAGGAGGGCTACAGGTTATCTCTAGGAAGTCTGAGGTATATTTTAGGTTTACATGATCTGCTGTGTGATCATGACCTTTCCTTTTCCCACATCTCACTCATAACCCCAGGTACTGCCTGTGTGTTCAGCGAGGTGCAGTGAGTTAAGCAGAACAAAGATGGGGAAACCTTTTCATAAATTTTGTGAACTTGGCACCAGTAGAAATAGGGAACAATTTTTCTGTTACCTTACACAAAGAACATAGAAACTGTAATGCAAATATAGGAGATGTGTTGTTGGTCTTGCATATATGAAACTCTGTGAGGTCTTTTTTTTTTTTACTTTATTATTTTTTAATTTATGGTTGAATTTGTTGATAATTTATTTTGTTATTCAAGAGCCATTGTTAAATGAAGGAAAACGATTGTTAATGATGAACATATAAGATAGAAAACATTGTTAATAAATATAGTAATCAGAGCTGAAAATTTATAGTCCGTAAGTCGTGGCACAGCGTGCGCTCTTCTCTTGCTGAACGTTTACATGGAGCTCTGTCGGCACGGAGCGTGGGGGATAAGCATATACTGCAAACTCTCATTAAAGATCGAAACTTTCCTACTTTTTGTTCTGTCAGATCATGCTTTTTTAAAATACATTTTTATATTTTTTCTTAAAAAAGATGAATGGTTGTGTCCAGAGCTCTTTTTCTTTTCTTTTTTTCAGAAACACTTTGTTTCTTCTCTTAGGAAGGTATAGAAAATATTTACCTTTATTGACACATGTAATAATATTAGCTCCAACTTAACTGAATATCTACTGTGCGTCGAGCACTTCCTCTTGTCACTGAGCCCTGCTGTGCTAGCAGAGCTCGCCTTTACCTGAATGTAAGAAAAAATGATTTTTCTAAAGCACCAGACTTCTCTTTCACTTTTCTTCTTTTTACCCTCATGACTTAATGAGCACCTATTAGGTGTGCATGTTTTTAGTGAAAATGCATGGTCATCTGTAGTTAATCTTAGCTGTTGACTTTAAGGAATTGTACTAAAGTCAAAAAGGAGCTTGCATATCTATCTGTAAGTGTGGACCTCAGCACATTTCAATATTTGAATCTTGGATTTCAGCTAGAGGGAGAGAATCTAGACAGAAGAGTTTGTTTTAGGAAGGTTTTCTGTGGTCTGAACTTGTAAGCCAAGTCTGTTGAAACAACAAGATCTGTAAGCGTAAGGCCAACTGTAATGTAGAGACTGGAACGTATACAGTAACATGAACGGTGGCCCTTCTGCCTCTTTCCCTTAGGAGACTCTGCCTAGTCTCTGGAATTATTTGAATAACATTCTCTTTGAATAGCTTCACTGGTATCAAATCTTTGAGGTTTTCTGTTTGGTTTTGAGAAGTAATGCAGTAACCAATCAATCTGACACTAGATCTAAGAGGTAATACTGGTTTTTGGGCCAACATGAATTCGAGAATTGAGACAAGTAACAAGATCGGTTTTCCTGTGAAATCTGAAAACTACTGTGGAAGCACAGTAGCCTGAACTCCTTGCAGAAGTTCTCGAAGGAATATTCCTGTTTCCGCCCTTGGGCAGCCTTTTCCACACAATCCCCATGGCATCATGCCTGTTGTCCTCTGGGAGTGTTGTCCGCATAGGACACCAGGAGATGGAGGAGTCCTAGGGAGGAGTGGCCCTGCCCACCAAAGTCCATTCTCTGCAAAGGAAAGGGAAATTAGTTGGATAATGGAATTCTTAATGCCGGTCTTATGCCTCTTTAGAAGTTTGAAATTATTTTAAAATAAAGTTTTTAAAAAATATAAGTCAGATCGAACTGGCTTGTTAAAAACTCTCCATTTGCTTTCCATTGCACTTAGAAAAAAGTCATCCATGCTCGTTTCCGTGTTCTCCAAGGCCCCAGGTGATCTGTTCCCTACCCCTATCTCTGATCTCATTTCATACCACTCTCCCTCTCACCATACTCCAGCCTCATCATTAAAAAATACCTTATTTATATCACTGCCTCAGGGCTTTGCAGTAGCTGTTTCTTCTGCCTAAAATACTCTCTTCCAAATCTTGGCGTAGTTGTGCGACTGAATCCTCCTCACCCCAGGTTCTCAGCTCAAATACCTTTCAGAGACCTCTGACCATCTGTAGTGGCTTTACCTAGTGCCACTGTGGCTAAGCTGGAGATACGTTCCTCTTAATTCTCCCTGCATAATTCTAGGATAGTGTGGGTCACAAGAGATGTGCGGTATGACCTTTAGAAAGCAGAAGTTAAGTAGCCAGATCCAGATTCTTTTTATAATCGAAAGGTCCAAGCAGACCATGCATTGTTGCTGCTCACCCACATCATTGCTTATCAGCTGGCTTATCTTTTCGGTCTGTGGGCCAACAACCAGGCACACAGGAACAGCAGCTCCTACTGGATCACCTCCTTTATTTTCTCCTCAGCCAGGTGTGTTTCACTCTGTGACTGAGGGTGCCAGGTTGTGCCGCACAGCCCCCTCATTGAGTTGGAGGCTTGGTGGCAGTGAGAGACTGGCATGAATCCCCACGGGTTCTCTCATCTTGGCAGGTTATTTGCAGACAGAGATCACAAGTAGGCAGAGAGGCAGGCGGGTGGGGGGAAGCAGGCTCCCCGCTGAGCAGAGAGCCCGATGCGGGGCTCGATCCCAGGATCCTGGGATCATGACCTGAGCCGAAGGCAGAGGCTTTAACCCACTGAGCCTCCCAGGCGCCCCAGGTCCCAGTATGTTTTCGCTTCCCCCATCTCACACCCATCTTCCTTTCCCACCTGCCTGACACAAAAGAACAGCCTCCTATAGTCCCTTATTTTATGTATTATTTTATATATTAAAATGGCATGTGTGCACATATGTGTGTGTGTGTGTGTCTGAGTGATACCCTAGTGTTCTCTGATCAGGTGCTGACTGATAGGTATCCTGTCTATGCTGCTGCCCTGTCCTAACTGCTCCGTCACATTTCCCCTTTTCTTGTTACACTACTTACCACTTGATCTCTACCTGCTGCCTGTCTGTCCAGTTAGAGTGTAAATTCTGAGGTACTTTGGCCATTGTCTTTGTTGTTCATTGCTGTTCCCTAGTACCTCAAACGTTCCCTGGTGCACACTAGATGCTCAAAAATATTTTTTGAATTAATGAATGAGAGCAATTTTGAAAAAATTTCAGATATGTACTTAATAATATAGAGTTAATTAAATCATAGGACCTCCCATAATGACTTAAAATAATGCCTTGTCTGTTTTTATTCAGTTACATGGAACCAAGAATGTGTAAAAATCTTGAGTAGTCAAGTAGTTATTATGAAGTTTAATCTCTAAAACTCACCAATTATGAGAGGTTTCCTCAAGCTGTCAAAGAGGAGGTTTTCCTCTATACAGTATTAGCATCGTGTGCCTTGTTTCTTAGCCCACAACAACTAAAACAACCATTTAAAAGAAGTTTGAGTCAACCAGAGGAAGAAGGTTGATGGTAGTGAGAAGTAGCTGGGAAAAGTCAAAAAAATTAAAAACGACACTAACTCATATCACAGGAGCGAGCCTGGGATCATTTAGTGTGGATGAAAACAACCCTGTGTGCCAAGTAGACTCTTAGAGCTT